TTGAGTGGGGATTAGTTTTCCACGCCGACGGGAGCATTGATATTCTACGCTCGCCTTGTTTCGACGTGGGATTTGAAGACGACGCCACAATCGAAGAGTACTTGGAGCGAGTCGTCCCGATCATCGCAAGCATTTTCGACCGACAATTGCGCGGTTACACTGGGACGATCATTGGACGCCATCCGCCACCACCTTCTCCGGAGAATACCTTTCCGGCAACAAAGTCTTTCGTCGCCTTCATCGTAGTGGTGCTCTTCATCCTCGCATGGTTTCTTATTCTCCGCTAAAGCCCAAGAGTGAACGAGAGAGAGAGAAAGGGTACTCAAGGTGAACTTCTTTATTATTAATTGCGGGATTTTTGTTATGAGCATTTAAGTGTTTCCTTTATCTTTGAATGATAAGATTGGTTTGGTTAACTCAAAGCACATCTTCGCCTAAGCAAGTTAACTACTTTGAACGATTTAACCCTTTACTTTTGTTGGTAATTAAAATTTGTTATGACACGCTTTGAATAATCTTTATTTTAATTTCCGAACGCAATTCCTTCGCATGTGGTATCACATCAGGGAGTGTTGAAATCCAGCCGTTCCCAGTGCAAAGGATCTGACGGACACAAGGATCAATCCGTGGGATACTCTCGTGGATCACGCCATAATGAAGGAACGAATTTAGAAAAGATTTTTATGTATTATTTATGTATTAAATCTGCAATTTATTATTTCCTCATTAGGATATCATGTATAGATCTATAAATAGGGAAGATTGTAATGAATAATTTCATGTTTTTCCCTCTCAAATCCTCGTTTTAACAGTACACATCATTGTTTAATAGATGTTTCAAATTTTGGACCATGTTAAGGTAAAAATAAATATACTGTTAGACCAGCTCATAAGCAGGTTGAACCGGTCCAAGGACCGGTTCAGGTCTTTTCCAGGCAGAATAGACCTGTCGCCCAACAAAGGGGCGGACGGACATGTGGGGCCCAGTGGATTTAAGAGGGAGTTTTGGATTTAATTAAAGAAAGCTTTGGGAGGGAATATTCAAAATCAAGGGCTGCTTAAGGAATTGTATTTGTGCTTTTGCTTTTAGTTCTTTTCTCTCTAGGGTTAGGTAAGGGGATGTTATGCAGAATTTTTGTTCCTCCTAGATTTGTTTGGGCTCTAGTCTTCGACTAGAGATTTAGAGAAAGAAGTTCCACTCGAATTGAAGATCCATTATATATTGTCTTATGTCTTTATTATTTCAGCAATTTCAAAGCTTTTCAGGTGGATGCCATCAGAATTTTCTCCTAGAAATTTGATTTGTGCTTTCTAAAATTTAAATTTCTACACCTGTGTTCTATCAGATACATAAATTCAAAAATGTTAAACAAAAACCAATGCATCCTATATCATGATAAGGCCACGAACTAAAATATAAAACAATAGATCTTATTAATTTATTAGAAAATCCTGTTGATTATATCCAATTACCAGTGATACAGAATCATAATCATTGAATCAATTAGTTTCAACATCAAATAAACTTCTGATGAAATAAACCTCTCGTAACCCATGTCCACCAAATAGATCATGCAACGTGAATGATATCAAAATCTTAATCCACGAGCAGACACCTAGTTTTGATAAAAAGGTGAAAGCCTATCATGTCTTTCCCATATTCCATGTGTGTAGTGTTTTATAACAACCACATGAAATGCAACTGGTTTATAGTAAGGAATGAATATTCTACATCATCAATAAAAAAAAATCAAATCAGTACAAGCGGATTCTAATAGAAGCAAACTAACCATTACTCTAGGGCCACTCTCTATTTTATGATCAATAAAGAAATAGAAAAGCGTGGATAAAATCATACCCCAAAGACAGCTCTTCTGACAGGATGGGAGTATTTGACTTGGGAATTGATGGTAGTTGTCATCGCAACTAAACAGGCAGCATCAACTACCACTACTTCTCCATCTTCAAGGACTTTCTGTACAACTGCTTAAGGAATGCCACAGAAAATTTCCATTAATAACGCTATGAAAAAATTCTTTTTCTATCATGATGTAAGGAGTTTTTATCAGCAAATTAAAGCATTTTACACCATTAAAAAAAGGTGTTTGCAAGGTCTACTTGATCCATACGCATTTAATTAGAAGTACTGGGGCAAAAATAAGCCTTGGCGAATATCAATTTCTACTAATAGAAGCGCAAATGAAAACAAGCACTTTTATTTTATTCTATTTTTAATTTGTTTTAAATAGAACACTATTTGTTATGCTTCTTGATCTACATTAAGATGGGGAAGACATCTTTTAAGTAGGTGAGGATTTCTTAAGGAAGAAGGGGAAGAAGAGAGACTAGAGAGGGAGAAACCATAAATCATTCATCCCATAACTTTTTCTTACAATAGGTGTATTTATAATACTTGAGTAAATCAAGTTTAGAATATAAAACTGCTCTACCTAAAACATACTAAAAATATAATAAAAGAAATAAATGAGTGCTTATTACACATATATAAACGATTTAGTTTATATTTTATTTGACTAAAGATATATTGCAGGTGTCTAACACAATGATATTTTTGCTTTGTTCACAAAAAAGACCTACATGAAGACTGAAATTTTGCCAAGGTTTCAATTGGAAATTTCAAAAGATGATTGGGACTAAAAAATAAAATGTGCACTATATATATATATATATATATATATCAAGGATCTTAATGTAATTTATACTAAATTTTGACTAAACTTGTCTTTGGTTCCCAAACGCAGATTACAAGTAAAAATCAAAACCATAATCGTTCTAGAACTTCACCAGCTGTCCTAAGATGAAATATCCATATTAATGTAGGATGCTACAATACATGCAGATTCAGGCAGAAGCCTTCATCAATATGGTTTGAAAGCAGAATGATAAAATGAACATTGAAAGGTTGAAAATCATCACCATACCACAGCATTGGTCATTATGTTCAACACATGACACCTCTCACCACATTCAAAAGTGTAGAATCATTCATTAGAATTGAACGCAATCATTAGTCATTGCTTCAGTACTTTCATGAATCTATCTCTACCTAATTTTCTTGTTTGTTTTCTAGTGACAAATTTCACCCTCCTCTTTTTATTCTCAACTAAATAACACTAAAAAGGATAGAGCGATCAACATTGTCTGCTTGTAATAAGCTTCAGGAAAAAAAAAACATCTCTTTGCAATTAGCTTCAGGAAAAGAATGAAACGTCAACAATAGGTAACAACAACAACAATATCAAGCCTTCATCCCACTATATGGGGTCGGCTACATGAATCCTTTTTTTTCCATTGTATCCTATTAAGAGTCAAATTCTCATTTCTATCTAATAAAGAAATGTTATTTTAAATATTTTCTAACCAAGTCTATTCAAGTCTACCTCTAACTTTCTTAACATAAGTCAAATATAATACATCTACTCTCTTAACTGGGTCATTGGAAGGCCGCCGTTTTATGTGACCAAACCATTTAAGACAACTCTCTCTAATCTTACTTCCACTGGAGCTACTCCAACCTTTTCGCATATAAGCTTGTTTTGTATCATGTCTCTAAGAGTAAAGCCACTCATTCACCTGAGCATCCTCATCTCTAGAACGCTTAGCTTAATAGTTAATATTATGCTTCTCGTTTAATGGTCAATATTCTACACCATAAAGCATTGCAGATCTCACCACCATCCTATAGAATTTTCCTTTATGTTTGAGGACTTTTCTATCACACAACAAGCATGATGCATTCCTCCCCTTCAACCATCCAAATTAAATTCTACTAATAATATCCCCCATGTATTTCACCATCACTCTAAACAATAGACCCAAGATATCAAAAACATGTTCTCTTATTAATGACTTGATCGCTCAAAGTCACAATCCCCCAACTAGATCTATTACTACAATAATTATACTCCATTAGATCAAATGTCGGGAGTATTAATGCTTACAACCTTAGAATTATTTGATCCAACCAAAATGTTATGTAAAGCCTACGTTAGCAAACACCTGCATTAATGAAATTGTAATATTTAGATCAACAAAAACTTCTATTAATTTAAATTAAACTAGTACTCAATCCGTGACGCAGACAACAAAGTAAACATCAGTTTCAGCCAGCGCATTCTGAATATCAAACATTAATAGCACAATTAAACCAAAAACTCAATTACTAGGATGTGTGATGGTAGGTATTATTTCACAATTCATTTCAATAGTGTGTGATCAGTAAAAAGCCCATAGTAAATTTGAACTAGCATGTCATCATGCCCGCTTCGAAGTTCTTGCGTAACTTGGAATTATGCTGTGATAAAATTGTAATCAAGAGACTATTTTATTTGAAGGAATTGCTTATAAGAGATTTGTCTTTTATGTTATATATAATAGTATCCATATTGATTGTATTTTCCTTCCTCATTTTTCTCTTCCGTTTACATTTTCAAACCCTCTTGCGCATAGAGGGTGCTTGTGATAGAGAATGGGAATGAATCAATATTATGAACCCAAAATTGCAAGCAAGTGTACTCCAACCTCTTCCCTCCAAAGCAAGTGTATTCATGTCAGTGGTGTGCGATCAGTAAAAGGCCCATGGTAAATTTTAGATACCATGTCATCACTTCCAAGTTCTAGCGTAATTTGGAATTATGCTGTGATAAAATTGTAATCAAGAGACTACTTTTTTTAGAGGAATCTCTTATAAGAGATTCGTCTTTTATGATATATATAATATTATCCCTATTGATTGTATTTCCTTATTTTTCTCTTCCCTTTACATGTTCAAACCCTCTTGCGTGTAGAGGGTGCTTGTAAAATAGAATGGGAATGAATCAATATTATGAACAAAAAATGGGAGCAAGTGTACTCCAACCACCTCTCCTTCCTCTCTTTGGAGGGCTTCTAATACAAGCTTCACTTTTGTTTATTATTCAAAAAAGTCATAATCACTGTCACCAAGCCATGACCAACTCATTTTATAAAAGAAAGAGTACGACATCTGCGCCCCCATCTGCTCATTTACAATATATCTTTGAATCAAATCAGAAAGGTAGCATACTCCGTAGAGTGGATAAATTTTGTAAGAAACTTAATTTTAAGGACATTTTACCTGAACCACCACCAACAAGAAAAGCAAGCCCTTGACCAACCAGCTTTTGTTTTAGAATTACCTGACAAAACAAAATTCAACAGCAATGTCAAAAGCAAGAGAAAGATGTTGGGGAGAGCATAGATGAATGAGTTATCAAAAGGTAACCAAGGCTAAGGTGCATTGACATTAGAAAAGATATGTAAAATTAGTTCAGAATGCGAAGATTGAATGGCAAACTAAAAAAATATAGCTATCCAATAGGGAGAAAATTTACCTCAACACCAGATGCAATGTTCCGGGCTCTTTGATCCATTGCATTACTGATTGTAACATCATTAAGGGAACAAAGGAAGGCATCTGGCTGCAACAGTTTCAAAAAATTTAAGCATTTAACACCATTACAAAACCATAACAAAAATATAATATATAGAGATTGGAATTATCAGAGCTCTTTTAACACATGTACTTTTTTATTGAAACACAAGCACATATACATTTATGAGAACTCAAGCATTAGTCAGCTCAAGAATGATCCTTGGCTTTCTAAGATCCAAGAATAATGTTTGGCTTTGTGAAAACCTGGTAACAAACTAAGATTTTTAAAATTACTTTTAAATTCAAATTATGCAAACATGGAACTCACACGAGATCAATGAGATTTCCATGACACTTGATGGAGATCACTAGCACTGGTGGCATCTCACATCATTGCCTATAAGTAGAAGTGTAAATGAGCCGACCAAAAATGATCTAGGGCTTTGGTCAATTCAGTTCATTAACCATTAAGCCAACAGGAGAACACTCAGATTTTTTAATGAGATAAAAAAAATGTTTAAGCTGATTTATTATCGCAGCAAATATGAGAAAACATGAACAACAAGTCCAATTGAAGACCAACAAATGCATCAACAATTTTTACATCCTCCGCTTTGAATGCATGAAAAAAGATTTAAGTTTGTTTATGCTACAATGTCCTCTATAATTCATGGAACTTAATATATGAATTTTCTTTGATTTTAAAATACATTTGATGGTTTCTAATGATAAATTGTAGGAGGAAAATAATTTTACATGTTTGTATCCACATATACATTTATATAATTTATAGTTATGTATATTGAGCTCTTACCGAGTTGAATATAATCAAATTGCAAGTTGTTCATGTTTGGATCATTTGGAAAATAAGATAAAAATTCTTTTCCAAGTTCCGTCTCATTTACTTAACGAGCAAGCCAAATATGAACATTTATTGAGATGAACATAAGCAGCCTACAAATATTGAGCTTTTTCAACTCCCTTAACACAAGATCAGAAGTGTTCTTTCAAGCTCACGTGCACAAGTAGACACCAGTATAGTGCGAGATAATGTCAAATAGTGAGTGAAAATGCTTGCATTTCATAGTAATAAATACAAGCTCACAACCAACATCTGCATGTTTGTGAGCATTGTTAGTAGAGGCTGTCAGCACCAGCAGCCTCATGTTGTTGCCTACAAGCATCCAACCACTTCAAAAAAAATGTATGAAGGTGGGATGAGATTTTTGAAGTTTTACCTAGGTTTAATTTTTTAAATGGTTAGATTAAGTATATTTATTCATAAAATATGCAAAACATGGGTTGTATTTACCAAAGCTCACAACCTGTGTTGTCCAAAAAAAGGGCAAAGCATAGGAAGTTCTGTATAAATGATGCAATAAAAAAAGATAGCAAAATTACATAAAAACTAGGTATTTCTTTTAGAATAAGAAAAAAAAAAAGTCAACACACAAACACACTTAAATTTTAAAACATAACATGACACAATTAAAAACAATTCCTAAAACTACTTTTCTTTCATCGAGAAGAAAGATACATATGAGGTGGACACTTGCGGAGAGAAGAATGAGTTAAGAAGTCCGAGACGAAGTCAAAAAGAGATGAAGAGAAAGGGGAACAAGCTCACAAGCTTTCCCAAGAAGAAGAGAAATGGAGCAAGCTCGCAAGCTTTCCCAAGAAGAAACCCGCAGGTTTTTTGCTCCAAAAATTCTTCACATAATCTCTCTCTTTTATTCTTCAAACACAACATATTTATAGATGAGAAGAGGCAGCCAAAAAAACCAAAAACACTCCAGCCGAACCATCCAAGAAAGGGAAATCAAAAGGCCAGCAGGCGGTCCAGGAGCAGCACCCGAAGGGCCACAAGGGGGACATGAAAAGTCAGCCACGGAATACAGGAACGAGCGCCCATAGGGAATAGGAACAGGCAGCCATGGGGAGAGGAGAAGCCATCCACGGGGCAGGAGCCAGGGGAGAACCGAAAGGCCGGCAGAGAGGGGGAGAAGGGGGGAATGAACCTGATTTGGCATTAAATACACATTAATGAGCTGATTTTAGAAGAAGAAAACAACAACTCACCAAAGGAGAAGCCCAAACTTGGGTTGTATTTACCAAAGCTCACAACCTGTGTTGTCCAAAAAAGGGCAAAGCATAGGAAGTTCTGTATAAATGATGCAATAAAAAAGATAGCAAAATTACATAAAAACTAGGTATTTCTTTTAGAATAAGAAAATACATGTCAACACACAAACTCACTTAAATTTTAAAACATAACATGACACAATTAAAAATAATTCCTAAAACTACTTTTCTTTCATCGAGAAGAAAGAAACATATGAGGTGGACACTTGCGGAGAAAAGAATGAGTTAAGAAGCCCGAGACGAAGTCAAGAAGAGGAGAAGAGAAAGGGGGACAAGCTCGCAAGCTTTCTCAAGAAGAAGAGAAATGGAACAAGCTCGCAAGCTTTCCCAAAAGAAACCCGCATGTTTTTTGCTCCAAAAATTCTTCACATAATCTCTCTCTTTTATTCTTCAAACACCACATATTTATAGATGAGAAGAGGCGCCAAACAGCCCAAAAACACTCCAGCCGAACCATCCAAGAAAGGAAAATCAGAAGGCCAGCAGGCGGTTCAGGAGCAGCACCCGAAGGGCCACAAGGGGGACATGAAAAGGCAGCCGCGGAATACAGGAACGAGCGCCCATAGGGAACCGGAACAGGCAGCCACGGTGAGAGGAGAAGGCAACCACGGGGCAGGAGCAAGGGGAGAACCGAAAGGCCAGCAGAGAGGGGGAGAAGGGGGGAATGAACCTGATTTGGCATTGAATACACATTAATGAGCTGATTTTAGAAGAAGAAAATAACAGCTCACCAAAGGGGAAGCCCAAACAAACCCAAAATCAATCCCCCCTGCCTACATCAATAAAACTCCCAAAAATCTATACTTGCTAAGTGCTAACTCAAACTTGACTAGTATTTGACACTACCATAATTTATGCCTTAATATGCATTATTTAAACACTTCAAGTCATAAGTGCAACCTAGGCCTAATAAGGTCAAACTCAACTAAGGAATTGTGATTAGTTTATGTAACGTCTCAGCAAATCGATGATGAAATCAGTAAATTTCAAGGTTTCACCTTAAAAATGACCTATGCTGCAAGAAGTCAACGGAATATATGCATGGGGTTGTAACTCTACCTTCACTTTAGCAGCACAAATATGTCCACAGCCATGAATTCAGGCTTTAATACTATTTAAAATGTAGGTATATAAGGAGAAAATACGGAATCAAACTACCATATCTGACAATATTACGTAAATAGTAATTATCAGAAATTCAGATTTATCCATCTTAAATATGCCCTTATTCAATCTTAGCTAGTCTGAAAATTTGCTGCTCAACAAAACAAGGGCTAATTTCCTGATTGCAGAACAAAAGGAGCCAGCAAAGAAGCCAAAACTACATTACATGGGCACGTCACATATTTAGAAATGCATCAAGAGAAACTAGAACATGGCTGAAATAGTCGTGGGTAGAAAACTTAAAATCACAAAGTAATATTCTGGATATCATGGAACTTTTTTTTATTACAAAATAATTACTTGTATTTTGCATGTTAAACTCTTTGGCATAACTTGGTTATGTACCTCTGTTCATAAATTTCAGTTTCCAGAGGAGTGTTTGAGATAATTTCAAACGAGTGGGATGATTTTAAGGAATTGAAGTGGGTTCTTTGTAAGTTTAAGTTAAAACTACTTAAGGAAAAAAAAAAGAGACTGATTTCCTGAAAGGCTAAATATGGCCAACCCGTTGTCCAGAGAACAAATCATGTATTGGATAGCGCCACAATATTAAGTTAAACCAATTTTTAGTGGATTTCCTAATTTTCAAAATACAGTAAAAACTACAACAAAATCAAATATACAAATCTATAATTATTAAATTTCTGTCTTCAGACTCTCTCTACACATCCTCGCCTTATGCGTGGACTTTATCTTTGCTTAGCAACTGCACAAGCTTTGACCTGAACGATGCTCAAATAGTTTTTTCAATCATAGTGCTACCATCCCCAATTACAACCATCTTCTGCCTTCAGCCATAGTGTAGTCACTCACAACTCCAACTGCATCCTTCTTTGACATCCCCATCTCACCGACAGCTTATTTCTCTCAAGGTAACACCACCATCTTTCCCCACCACCGATACTGAATCTCTCATTCAAGCAACCATCGGAATCTTGGACAAGATTCACAATCCAATCCAATAAATCTAACTCCATAACTAAATCATACTGCTGACAACGGACAGTGGAGATTCCACATCATGGCTGTGGCTATCGTCTCCTAATACACCTGCTAAAATCAATCCACCTCCGCCCTTTGTCGAAATGACCAGTTAACTATGCCATCACTGTTGCGCTAAGATAAAGAGCATATGCAAGTGGTTTTGTCTTAATGCAAAACTTCACGTTGGTGGAGGTTGGCATAGGTGCTGGAGACCAAGCGGGTGATGATGGGAAAGATACGTGTCCCCAAACTCTTCATAATGGCAGGTCAAAGATGCATTATATGTGCTTTAAATACCTTGGACAACATAACAAAAGGGTGCTGTTCTCATTGTTTTCCTTCAAGATACCTCACTTCAACATAGAACGAGAATAAAAACTCACCATTTCCAGATTCTTATTTGGTAGATCATATCCGAGACATGAATGCCAAATCAACTTAGCAGACAATTAAACATCAACAAACCAATGCACACAAAGTATTAGCCAACCATTAATTACCCTACAAACATAACACAAAAAATGTGAGATCTTACTGGTACACAACTGTAAGGCCATTCCATAAACATTACAGCCAATGCAAGCTACTTTACTACCTGTAAGATGTACAACAATAGTCTTAAGCATTACAACCAATGCAAACACTATAATCATACGTATTAAACCATTACTTGTACTCAAGTTGCCATCATTATAACCCGTTAATCATGCATGGAATGTTCAATCAATTGTAACTCACTGCTTGGAAACTCCCATCAAGTTTCAGTATTGTGTGGCATCCGCAAGGGTAAATGCAAAACTGCCTGGCAATGGCATCCTACTCATCTTCCAAGGACACAAAGAGTCATCTCTAAGCAGCAAATGCAAGGCCGTCCTATGTGCTGTTGCAGCCTTGTGCAAAAGCGTGCATAACCCATAAACCCATGCAGCACCATTTAACTTGTTGAGGTTTTTCACCACAGCAATGATTCAAGGAGTCTTGGCTAGCTCTACCCAGAACCAACAAAGTCACTGCCTCCTGTTCAATCACTGCACCTAAAATGGCTCAACACAACCATGTAAGCATTCCTTAATGCTATCAAGGCCATTGCCTCCACTGTAGCTACTGCCGGAGACCTCATCAAGATTATACGATAGTGGAATTGCCTTAAGTGAAACCAAGGGTTCCAGACTTACTAAACCAGCCAGTTACATACATTGAGTCATGGTAAGCGAATATTATTAAAATAAGTTGAGGGTAGTATGGCACTAATAGCTTGGATCGTGAGGAAATATGTCATGTTCAAGGTGATCTTGCTATAGAGCCTCAATGTAATTTTATGCTGGCAATGGCAGGTAACGTTAAAACTAAAAAATAATAAATATAAGTTCTATCCAGAAGTGTCATGAAACACTTAGCATACTTAGGATAGAATAATCCCTTCAAAGCATAATTAAATGGAACATATAATAGTGGAAGTGGCCCATCAAACAGGTGGTTTGTTAAGGTTTCAAAATATCAACCTATATAATAGGCGATGCATTTACATAGATCTCAATATGACATTAAAAAAAGAAAAAAGAAAAACAGGTATGATGGTGAGAAAGAAACAACTGATATGACTTTCAAAATAGCAAAATAATTTATAATTCTGGAGCATAACAAGAATTATAAGCATCCTGCAATAACTATATCACAATTCACTAGGAAGGTCCAAGGCCAAAAGCCTATAAAAGAAAGTTTCTGCTTTACCTGGCAAAAAATTTCCCCACCAAAGTTTGCCAAATCTATCTGCAGATGAATAAATAAACACCATAATACAGTTAGTAGAGACGGATCAAAACATTTTATGCATAGCTTTTAAACTATTGCCAAAAAAAACATTTTAATTTTTCATTCAAACATCAAATTCAAATAGCTTGCATCTGACCATTAAAACCTATTGCAAATCAATGATTCTGCAGAAGTAAAAGCATATGCTGAAAGTCTTCAATTTTAGTGCATTATATTAACAATGAATGGTGAAGTACAAGTATTAGGTTCTTTGAAGCTGAAAGTGCAAACTTTACAAAGTCATGTAATACAAACCGGAAGTATCCTTGCAGGAGATGGTGCTGAAATTCCAACAAATCCATCATCTGGACCAGCATTGGTAAAAACTATACTTGTGGCACTCTTTCCAAAAAGCCATTGCCATATACCACCTTCATGCTCGGGAAAGTAAATATTGTTGATTTGAACAGAACCAGACATATAGCACATTGTACCTGAGAATTATTAGAATTTTAGGTCCAGCCAAAAGATGGCAGAAAAAGACATTCAATATAACTTTTAAAAATATGAAGTGGTGCATAAATAACAAGAATTGCTTGTCCAACTAACAGAAATTAATAAAATCCCTTCGTGTAAGTTCATGACCAAGTTGACAGTGCAGTCAACTGAGTCAAGACAGCATGACTAAAAATAAATTAGCAAATTGTGCATTAAAAAGCAGCTGAAACAATTAGCCGGTGCTATTTATTTTCAACATCTGTGTCAGTGACATTGATGTTAGCTGAATTAAAAAGTTTAGGAGGACAAAAAAAGTGATTTTGAGACAGATATGCTAAGCAGGACTGAATACTATGTGAAGCATAATGAAGTTATCCCTTCCATTTCTGCAGAAGACTTTATCCATATTAAACCAGACCTTACCAGGTTTTGCGGTCACTTTCTCTTGTGGTTTCAGCATAATCTGTGGATAGAAGAAAAACACCAGGATAAGCACCCGAAGAACTAAAATGAACTGCTGTGGAATGTCGGAAAGTTGCTTGTTCTGCATTGTACCTGAAGAACCTGAGCTTCTCCACCCAGAATCTGAAATGGTGTAACCACTGATTGTTGGCTCTGTCATAAAAGATTTTCAAACTCCCATAAGGATTATTGAATCAATATTACATCTCACTGGCTTCTATAATAATGAAGATTTAATTTCCCACAATATGTAACATGTCCACAGGAAGAATATGTTAGACCAGTCCAGCCGGTCCACATGGGACCGGCCCAGCGCAACAGAGGCGGAAGATTTCCGCCTCTTCAGTATTTCGTTCGGACAGCAAGAGCCAACCGAACATTTTAGGAAGGATTTTTGATGGGTTTTGGGAGGAAAATTTGAATATAGGGACTGTTTAGAGATTTCCTTTGATTTGTATGCATTAAATAGTTTGTTTTCCTAGGGTTATGACATCTTGAATTTGGCTGAAATTTGAGATCTCCTAGATTTAGGTTTTCTTTTGGGCTCTAGAGGCGTCTAGAGATTTGAGAGAGATCGATCCTCCTCTCGAATAGAGGATCAATTGTATCTTGCTGTTTTTATTCTTCTACTAGTGAATTTCAAGTGTTTTCCCTCAGATTTTTCAATAAAATTACTGTTTTTGCTGTTTTCCATTGGAGTTGTGGACTGTTTTTGCTGTTTTTACCAATAGTATTATGATTTACTTGAAATATTCAAGTACTTCCTATCAGAATACTACCTAAAAAATAAATAAAAGGTTGCAGTCGCTTTAAATATCCAAAAAAATAAGAGATAATAAAATATGCCTTAGTCAACATAAAGGAGATCATCTAAAAATTTAAGAATATAAAACAATCTTTTTACAATGCCAAACAATAGAACTCATATTCCAGAGCAAATCTATGCACAAAGCCACACGGACCATGAAAACAACCCAAACAGCATAGTCACCGTAAACTACAACATATGATTATCAAGAGGAAATAAGGTAAGCACACGTGGAAGAAAGCAGCACACTAAAAAGATGCCCTGGCAATCATAAATGATTGAAAATAACTAATATGGGCATATGACATATCATGTGAGAACAAAATGCACTTTCTCATTTATAAGTTTCCTAGACTCGCTTTATGAAACTCAGATTTCTTATGTTGCACCAAGAGGCACTTCCAAACAAAGCTAGGATTCCTAGAGTCACTAAGCTAACATTTTAAAGATCCAGAAGTAAGATAATTTGCAAGCATATCCTACTTGTACACACAAATAGATATACAACTTAATAAGTTACCTAGCTAATACATGGATACTTCAATAAATCAGAACCCACATTGCCTGCTAATCAGTTTCAACAAAGAGGGAAATAGATTTGACATGGCATACACTGATTAGCCTTGCCGGCAAGGCATCATTCAAGGCACTCCAATCAAGTCAAATACCAGAAAGGAAGCTATTAGGCTAAAAAGCAAGTTTAATGACATAAAAATCAGAAGAAATGTATATTTGCTCAACTAGAAGAAGAGCGCTTCATAATCTCAATTCCTCAGACCGAATCGGGACAATGGCACATAAGTTCACCCAAGCCAAAGAACTTAATGACTTTTTCCATGTATTGCTGACTGAAATGCCGAGTGATGCCCCCTCATTCCTATTTTCCTATCTATTAGCATATTCTTAGTGGAACGTATGCTTGCCACTGACTGACAGAAAAATATTGCTCATATGTAGACAACTTGCATTCTTGCAGTTTGTTAAATTTGCACCGCCATAGGTAGAAAACAGCTATTTCAATGCTGAAAGCTGCATCTCAATTTACCAACTTTGGAAGTGCTTTACCTTTCACGTTTACCAACCAACCTACTTCTATAGGTCTTCTGTTCTTAATTTTTCTACGGACTGATAGAGTATAGGAAAAATAAATTACATAAAAAAAGGAAAAAAGAATGCTTTAGCAGCCGCCCAGCCCATTGTCTTGGTAGGAGGTATTCCAGAAAACCTACAACCTAACAAATTGAAAGATGTGATGCACGTAAAACAGATGTCATGCTTGTTGACAACGACAAAGCCACCTGATAGTTTCAATAGTAATAAACAAGGGATAAATGAAGAGCAAAACCATACTAAAGTAAATCTCCTTTGCTATCAAAGAACAAATGTGGCATCTTTTTAAGAAACATGAACTAACCAATGGACATTAAACAGTTCGCTAACCAATTGCCCATGCTATTCCCCAGACCATTAATATTGCAAAATCAAATTCCCTGTTCTTTCATTGGCCTGCTAGCATTAATTATTAGCTCTCCCAGCAAATTATGATTTCGCAAAGGTGCATCTACACCAAGATCAATCCATGCGTTCTCGTTGGAGTAAGGTCAATGATGATTATGATTACAATTTCCTAACTTACGAACAGGACCTAACCAAGAAAGTCTAAGATTGATCCCTATACATGGTAGCATAGAAAGAGAAACACAGAAGTCCATGTTACCGGTCATGTGTATAACTTGTCGAATTATCATTTCATGAACATAAATTTTACAGCACTGATAAAAATGCTGCATAAGAACAATCAAATCCACTAAAGTAAAACAATACACTTGAAATTTCGACAAACCTATGTTGAAAAAACACATTTCCGCAAGAAAATTGAATAATTCACGCAAATCCTTCAAGAGAAATCAATGAAAGAAAGCTAATTCGCAGAAAGGGAAAAAAGAATAGCGAAAGCGCAAGCGGAGCAGCACCTGGTATACATAGGGCTGGAACGGCGTGGAGAAGAACGGCGCAGCCATGTTGGAAAATATAAGCGGCGGATCAGAACATTAAAAGTTACAAGATCGGCGGTCCGGCGCCATGAAGGATCTTTCGCTTAAGGTCTTCGCCGTCCCGTCTCCACAGCCAAGAAATTGGACCGACAAGCTGAGGAACAGAAAAATATACAGTAAAAAACAAATCAGTACAATTTATCGGTCTTTTTAAAATTTTATGCCATTGACGCCCTTAATAATTTATTTAATTACATGCAATAGTGCATTTAATTGAGGTTGAGGTGCTTCATCCGAGTCACGTGGAAAAACGTCACCGGCCTCTCATCAGAGTGACACCTGTAATATAGTGGGCCACTAGACATGTATTTCCACGTGTTATTATTTCATTGGGTAACTGCAATTCTTTTTTTTTTTTTTTGCCTTGAATTAACAATAAGTTCTTAAGGAATTTTTTTTTAAAGTTAAATTTGAAGGAAGAGAGAAAAATTATGAATAGCCTTTTTATTGAGAATGATAAAATGAGAATAAAAATTATTATTTTATATGAAGGCTTTTTTTTCTAAATGAATGAGAAAATGAAAAAATATAGATAAAAGAATTTTTAATGATAATAAATTAACTTTCTTTTCTTCTTACGTGACATTCGAAGGAGTATAAAATCAAAGATGATCAAGACTTTAGAAGTTGTGGAATCAATTTCGGAACTACTTAAACTCTATTTTGTAATAAAATTATGACCAAAAAGTGCATATATACAAACAAATGTAATGTACAATATCTTTCATTTCTGGTTTCATCCAGATTCTTAAAAACTTATAAAACATTATATGAGTAAGGGGGGGCTAATATGAATCTATTTAATGATATTATGATTTGTTCAATAAAGATTTAATTAGATCTTACTTGTACACATTTTATTCGGCTCAAATGATGTTTAAAGAAGGATTTCATAAAAGAATTCAGAGCTCAGTCTACCAACATTTGATATTTGTCATCACCATTAAAGAAGACGTCAGTTGTTATCGCAAAGATTGACATGTGTTAATGTCTATAACATTGACACCCCTTGTTAACATCAAGCCTAACGCATGCCTTTATCAATAATGTCTACAACATTGTTGACACATAATTCCATCAAGAAAGACCCATTGTCAACAACAAAATCAATATCTTTCATTGGTAATAAGCCATTCATCAATAGATACATATGTATTTATCATTGATATTAATGTTGAGGCTCGTTATTGTCAATAAGTTTGTTGTCAACTTTTGACAACGATGCCATTGTCCACCATTACCAACAAAGGCAATTTTCCATCATATACACTATGTTGACACCCATCACTGCCAACTAGGTAAATGCACATTGCCAACATCAATATAGATGGCCATTGTGCTAATAAGTGAGATATCCACCATCCACATCAACATCTATGCCCACCATCTTAGTCACTAGCTAACTATCCCTCTTATAGAGAGATTGATTAAGCAAACCACCGATGATATTTTGATGAAAATTCAAGAGCATAAAGGCTCTTCATTATTTGATCTGCTATTCGTACTTTCATCATGAAAATTATTCTAAAAAAAAATCATATCAACTATAATGTTGTTTAAGATCTCTTTGGCCCTCTTTGTGTTAAATTTATTTCATCAACTACAACAATTTTCATCCTTTCTTTTAAGCACACATAATACTTAAAATTTCGTGTTTCTCACAAATATTGTCTCTATCAATAACTCCTTATTTAGCATATGGAGATTACAAATAGGCTCAACTCATTATATGGTGTTCATTTTCGAGCTTCTTGTTAGCCCAAAATCTATATATTTCACATTGATTGCTCACTTTAATGACAATAAACTATCACTCTTAAATTTCACCTTCATCTACCAAATTTGGATTAAGTTGGTTTATTATGATATCAAATATCAACTCTTAATGTGTGCTTGAATATTTATAGTAATAGAGAAAGAGAGTTTAATTTGCTAACTTTATATGAAGATCTAACACACATATAGATAAAAAAAGGTTGTAAAAACACTGCATTTTTTATGTTAAAATTTTGAAGAGAATAAAATAATAAGGCCTAAACCAGTTGAATGGTCCTTTATATAAGTGAAATTATAAAAATATGTTATTTCCCTTAAATCAAGAAGATGAAAACAAAGTACATAATATTACATTGGTCTCATGTGAGTGTAGTAGGGGGAATACGAGAGAAGTGTTTGGGGTTATGAAAATTGAATATTGATGGTTGAACTATAATGATTAGGTGACCACATTTTGGGAAAAATTGTCTAAGATGATAGTCAAGCTTCAATGGTGTGACAATGATGGCTAAGAAATGTTGATCGAGCAATGATGGTTAAGCAATAGTGGTCAAGCAACAACTATTGTTGGTGGTGATCATCAATGTCGATCATCGGGCAGAGCTTTAAAGTTTTTCAAATGTTGAAGCTCTCTCTATATTCATGTCAATTTCCACTTATATGAAGAATGTGGATTTATTAGAAGTTTTATTAGTGACAATTTTGTACTTTTTAACCAAAATCTCCATAATACTTCATCAGATGGCCCATAATAACTCTTATCATATATCATTTTTTAGTATTTAAACACCTTAATAACCTGAAAATTAAGTGAGTTTAGGCTCCTCCTCTAGCTGGGCTACTTGATTTAACCATAAGTAAGATTCGAATATAGCTTATCCTTCAATTAACATCATAAAATTTTTAGTTTGCTTCAAGTGTTTGATTTGGGCTCATTTGGAGTCGAATTGAATCATTTTTATTATCATTCAATTTGTCTCATTGAAATATCCACTTAAACTATTAATTTGCTAAAAGTAGAGTTCGAATTGGTTTTAATATATTTCCATTTAAAAAAATCAACTACCATATATGAAATAACCACTTGTATATTAATTAAAACACATAATAATCAAAGTTAGATTTAATAAGAATTTTGAGAATGATTGGCCATATTGATATTTGGAAGATTGAAAAAGAGATTTAGGAATTGAATTTGGAATGAAAAAATTGTAAGAATAGATTTTCCCTTGAGAGCGATGTGATGCTAATGTGGGGATGATTGTGCGCTAAGCTCCCTATATAATGGGAAAAATTGAAGTTATTAGGGGGCATTGTGGCATAGGCTGTCATGTCCCATAATCTAAGGGAATAATTAAATTTAAACTAATTAACTCAACCTCAGCTTTCTACCAACCAAAGCTTACTAATCATCTAGAAATACAGAAATAAAAGAGACACAAATAATTAGAATGCACATTACTTTCAAAAATGATCATTTACAATAGTTTATAATACTTAAAAACTTCAAAACACAAATAAAAACTAGGTTATCAAAAAACTCTACTGAAATAGCACTCAAACGGACTTCAACCTTATCAACTTCTACTCAACTTGATCGAACATTTTCTTTTTCTTGAAATAACATGTCATTGATAGTGTGAGCAACTATTCGCTCGGCAGGCCTTCTACCCTTTATTAAAAAATTCAATAACCCTTACTAAGGTGACATTTAAGAGAATCAAATAAAGTAAGTTTTACATCTTACTTAAAATAACATGATAAGTGTGAAATGTTTCATCTATAACATGTTTTTAGTATCTACTTAATCTTTAATAGGGTTACCACATAACATGTTAGCATTATTCTTTCTTTAACTTGTAAAATTAATACATGAACTTGCACATGATGTTAAATTGATCAGTACTTGAACTTTAAGGTATCAACAACATCAACTTATACTCACTTGTACTTAGTTTTAGAGTTGAATTTAAAACTTACATTTAATTTAAGAGTAGAACACATAATTTAATGCGACTTATAAAAATATGATTTATGCATATATCTCGATGTCTACTTATAGCTCTACATTCACTTATGTTGTCATGACACTACAGGAAAATGCGTCATTACCGTCGGACTTATCGGCAGATATTTTTCCGTCAATACTACCGGCACAATTATGAGCGAATGTTTTGCCGGTAAATTAATAATGCAATAACAGGCAGAATAACCGCCATAATATTACTGGCGCATAATCCGCCGGTAAGTATCTGTGGACTTACGAGCGTATCATGCTCCGGCTTATTTAAACTCCACAAACTATTTTAAACCGTGGATAATAGGCAGAAAATTCCACTGGTTAAACCCTATTTCGGGAATAGGCCTCCGAACAATTTCTATCATTGGTTTACTCGGACGACTGTTGCGCGTCCGAGAGCTGTGCCGACGCCGTGATTTCTTCCCTCTCCTTGCTCAAGCCCCCAGCATCCTAAAATCGGCCTCCCTCCGCTCAAGTTCGCGAGTTGCCCCGACATCCAACCGGTGAGCCGAGCCTTCGTCGCGTCCGAGAGCTCCCCAGACCGAACCTCGCCGACTTTCGCCGAAAGCTGCCCCGAACGCCACCGCTAAGGGAAGGTATTATCTCATCACCTTGAGTTTGAATGTTCTTACTATACATTTGCAAGAGAAGATATATTGGAGTGTAATTTTTTGAAAAAAAAAAAATTTAGTAGAATTCAAGTTAGATGGTTGAAGTAGAGGAATGCATTGGCCTTGTTGTGTGATATAAAAGCTCCCTTAAACTTAAGGGGAAATTATATATGGTGGTGGTTAGACCTACAATGCTTTTTGATGCAAATTAATAGATAAAGTAAATTGCCTCATTTGGTAAATAATATTGTTATTGTACTCAATGTTTCCAAGGATGAGAAAACACTTGTCTAGCAATAAAAGCCTGTGAGCTCTGAAAATTCGGCCCCGGCCTCCGCCCGACTATTTGCCTTTTCTTTTTTTCGGGGGAGTTTTAACGGAACAAGTTCCGGGTAAATTTTGGGAAGGCATATGAGGTTGTAGATAAGACACTACCCAGAGATTTCACCCTCATTTTGCGAGGACTTTATGATCTGAGTTCTGGTTTCTTATAGGTGCAAGCCCCTATAGTTAATTACCCCTCCCACTAACAAGAGAGAACTTTCGATTAAGGCTAGTCATCAATCAGATACGTTGTATTCGTAGAGATACACGTTATGTGGCATATAGTAGCAGCATGGGCTTGAATTTGGGAATATGGAAAAAGTTTAATATTTAAAATAGAAATTTTCACCATCTTGCACTTAAAGCGAATGATGGGGGAATGGATGATGGACCCGATCAAGATCCCATGGTTCCGTCGTCCCGGGCCATCACGGTCCTTGGTTTTACTTAGTCAGATGAGGTAGTCGACCCAACCTGACAGAAGGATCTTTGTTGGCAGCGATGAGTTGTTTCGTCCAAGGAGACCTTGTAGACCTGGGGACCTGGGGTGAATGTTTGTCTAAGTGGACAAATTTGACTCCACCTTAGCTAACAGAGGGCTTTATACCCTATCGATCATATCCTATTGATTTATATCTCAAGGATTTGAAACCACTAAAAAGCGTATTGGCTTTAGCCATAATCGGTATTTTGTGGTGCCATTTGGCGGCAAAACCACTCGGTTCAGAGGGCTCCGGATCATAACCGTTATCCTGCGGTGCCATTTGGCGGTAAAATCGCCGATTAGAGGACACATACTACATCCTTACTGGCAGAAGATAATTTGAGAATGGAACTTAGTGATATTTTTGACTAGGCATTAGCTCTATGTGAGCTAAAATAAATTTTCAATTTATCCACCCCGACAAACTGTTGCGTAGGGTGAATGTATTTTGCGTAAAGTGGTTTGGATTTATTTCAATTTTAAATATAACTTGCATTGCATAAATCAAACAAAGATAGTATTAATTTTTGAAGTCATTAGTTGGGTAAACTGGTTTTCCGAATCTAGGAGGGTTATATGTACAAATAGTCAAGCGACTTAATTCATATTAGTTGAGTTATATAAAGCCCATCGCATGGCATATTCATTGATAGGTTGAAAAATAGCCAATATCCCCAAGTAAGCCACTGCATTAGACTAAGGACATCTCCTTCAAGGATGCTATAGGACCCTATTAAGGCAAATCTCTCAAAATGTTGTATAGTTGTATGCTCTCGCCCTAGTTTAGGATTAGAGCATTATCGACACTGTGATGATAATCCCACTTCAAGCATGTCTCTCATTTTCCCTTTCGGATTTTTGTAGAACTCTAAGACCCACATTCTAAAATGAACTATAACATTAACACTCAAACTAATCCAAATTGATCATCTAACATTTACTCTAGTGACGTTCAAGCATAATTGCTCTTCCACCTCATACGTGCTTCCCAAATCTCATCGAGACCTGTGGGCTTCATTTAACATACACTGCATCATATTGAACAATACCGATACACCTCTTTTTGCTATTTAGAAAATATACATAAATGAAATATTGGAAATATGCTTAATAGAGACTTTAATTGAGAGTATTATTTGTGATTTATTTTGAGATGTAATAAATATGGGGGATTTCATCTATGGTAAACCTTCAATCTTATAATCCAAATAAACCTTGGATGGAAACACCTAGGAAAATTGGATTATACTATCTATTTTCCATTGAGACTTACGGATATAAGATGTGTTAGCTCAACCAAATCCTAACAAAGCCTTTCTAACACAAGCCACACAATATCATTATCTTTGAAGGCAAAAAAAAAAAAAAAGAGTATTTGCGTGCATCCCTTCCTTGATCTAGCCTTTCAACGGAGAGTTTCACCAAATATTAAGCATTTGTGAGCTTAAAAGGTGGAAATCTGCTAGACTTGTCATCCATTAAACTACAACATTTATTCTTATAAATAGGAATTAACACACTCATTCTCCACTTATCTGGCATCTTCTTAGTCTTCAAAATAGTATTAAAAAGTTTAGTAAGCCATGAAATTCCTTCATCTCCTAAGCATTTCCACACCTCTACTTGTCATCCATTAAACTAACATAAATAAATATTCAATGTATCTCAATATATTTTACGAACTTTAACATTGGTTATGTGAATAAATTTTAGCAAAAAATTTATGATTGATGTCAAATAATGAATGCATTTACATCATTTTGCAGTTTCCTATTTAACAACATTCATGGCATCTTTTTTGAGATGGTTCAATAGCGTATTTGCATTTAACTCACCATTGCATCATTGTTTGAGATGTATTGTTAATTTACATTTTATCCAACATGATACTTGCCGCACTTAAAGATAAACAATAGAATTTGGTATTGTCTATTGAGCAACTGGTCCAAAGGGTGACAAATCTAGAAAATCATAAGACGACTTCCAACAAATGTGTACAGACCCTTGATAAAAACTATAATCAGATTATGGATCAACTCCTCGTGGCATTTTTTTTTATTAGCCTGATGAGATTAAACAGTCAATTTACCTACTGCCCATGTGATGCTCCCAGATATTCAAAAAGCATTATCATTGAAAGGTTAAGTCCATGCCTTCAGTCTTCATCCATTGGTCTGTAACAAGTTGGATTTTGCCTAGCTGCGTCTAGATCCATATGACCATAACCATATCAATTAATATGTTCAAGTAGTAAGTGCAAAGACAATTTTATTAGGTTTCATAGTTTACAAACATGACCTAATCAACAGAGTACAACAATCTATGAAAACAAAGCAAGATAAAAGGGAAGGGAGATTCTTCTGACGGTTTGTGGCAAACGTTCAATTGGAACTATATAATTACTAAAGACGTGAGCATTTGTCTTAAGACGCTAAGAGAATGCCTGCAATATGGATCGAATATGGTAAAATTAAACAAATATGATGGATATCGACAAACCATAGTTGGAATAAACATTTTCCGGGGAAATTTGATATTTTATGGGGATCCTAAGAGAATCCTATAACAGAAATGCAGCGCGAAAGTGAGAGAGACGAGACCACCGAAGCAGCACCTGGTAGACATAGAGCCTGGGACGGCGTAGCAATGATAAGGAAATTGAGCCGATCAAAACATCAAAGAAACTTGAAACAGGTCGCACCTCGAGCCGCCCCACACCACCCTCACCAGCCCTGTAACCCTATATAAATGACAGTTTGAATGATTTTTTTTTTGAGAAATTATTATGTGTGGAGTCCCTCCACACTCTAATCAAATAAAGACACTCGGAGTTTTAATATATATATCTTTTAGTTCTTACCTAACTTGATGACCCGGTTTGGCAACTTCAGTAATTAGGGTTGGTAGGGTTGTCACTCGTTTTTAAGAAAAAAATACTTCATCATCCCATTCAATTTTAAATAAGCAGACCAAAAGTTCCCGAATTTGCGGAGTCACTTTTCATAGTTGAACAAGTTGCTCTCATCTCTTTCAAGCACTCTTCATCTTCAAAAAATGATTGGTTTGTCATCAATTTTAAGGGTTGTTCATTTTCGAAGCAGGATTGTTCTCTTCATCCTCTTTAGGCGTCATCCAGCAGCTAGATTCGCAATGTCAGATTTAAGACGAGAGTGAGTTTGATCAAGGTGGTATTTTATTACTATATTTGATAAGAAAATAAATGAACGGTGAAGCTACATTTCCCCTCTGCTTAGGGATTCTCTATTTAGGGTTTATTATGAATGAGAAATTAAGTTTAGAGTTTTTTGTTTTAACTAATGTGTATATTATGTATATGCATAACGTATGTGCAATATGTATTTTTCCAATTTTTACATATCAATATTTTTGCACTTGTACGTATTATGTGTTCGGCATTTCTCTGTAAAAGGTGTATTATGAAGGAGAAATTAAGTTTACAGTTTTTTTTAAACAAATGTGTATATTATGTAAATATATAATTTATATTGTACATATCAATATCGTTTGCTCCTTATACACAACATGTATATTACATGTTAAACTTGTAGCCTGATACAGTGTGTGTATATATTTTCCATATACACATCCTATGTGCAAGTTATATATATGGTGTGTACAAGCATGTACACAGGGTATGTATAGAAAAAATTTATACATATTATGTACAAATTGTATAAATAAGCAAGACATTTGCACGTTTAGTTTTAGAGAACAATAATAAGCAATATCTCATGTTGGTTTGAACGATAAAATAAAATATTAAAGTGATAATTAGCGTTGATTAAATTACGTGCATAGAAGTTAAGAGCATAAAATCAATCAATTTAATCCACTTTTGCATTCGTGAATGGTCTCAACAATAAATCCCTTCGTTAACATTAAGACTAGCTACTACAAGGAAATCTTCAGTCAACTCTCCATATTACTAGGCTTTAGCGGAGGGACCAACAACATCTTTGTGAATCAAAATATAACCACGTTGGAGAAATAAACTAAGAGGCTAAAAGAGTCGGATGTCGAGTTTACTCAAAGATAAGAGAGATCACACTCTGACAAGATCGTTTGAATGCTGGGGAAGATGTGGGTAGCAACCAAGAGCTTTCCCGCAGCATGGAACAGCCGGGAAGTGGTTGCAGAAATTCCGATCCACGTAATCTTCAATGGTGGCGTTGATCTCTACGCTGACGTCACGAAAGACGATCTCAAAACGTCCACATGTCATTGGGTATCAAAGACTATTCTTTGATCCATATTCGGATCGGCCATGCATAGTTGTCCCAGAGAAAATGTAGAGAGGGGGAGGAGGGGATCGGCCAAGCTAAGTGGAGAAGGAGAAAAAAGAAAATATGAAATTAATTTTAGATTTAGCGAGTAATTAGAGATTAATCTCCTCTGAAATTTGAATTTGAAATTAGTGGAGATTAGGAGGGAAGTAGGGAGGGGATTGAATTAATTAGATCCTTAATTTATGGGATCTAATTAATTAAATGGGGAAGCTTAGGTGGCCGGCCAAAGAGGGAGAGAGCGAGGGGAGTTTAAATAAAAAAAAAAACTGAAATTAATTTCAGTTTTGAGTGAATTTGGAGGGAGACTCAATTTGAAATTGGATTTGAATTTCAAATGAGGTTATGAGGAGTTAATGGGCAATCAATGGGGGCCCACTAATAGTGGCCGGCGGCTTAAAGAGAGGGAGAGGGAGGTTATGAAATTTGCAATCCAAATCAATTGCAATTAATACATTGAATTAGCATTAATTAGCTTCCACCCTAGCATGGCCGGCGGCATCAAGGAGAGGGAGAGGATTGTGGAGAGAATTTAGGGAATTGCCAAAGAGGGATTGTGGATTAGGAAAATTATTATAACCTCCATTTTGTTTGAAATTTAAATTGAAGTCATGAATAAAACTTTCCTAAATAGGAATTTCCGGAATTGGAAAGTTTTGAAATTCAAAATTTGAATTTCAAATTGACTCCAATTTTCCCTCTCAAGCCCAACTAAATTTGGAAGATAGCATGATGATTGAGATCATCATCCCAATGGAAAAGGGGTCTTGGTGGGCGGCGGCAAGAGGAAGATGCGGGTTTGGCTTTGGGTGGAGGTGGCTAGGAGCTAGGCCGGCAGGTGGAATTGTGGAGGAGGAATTTGGTGGGGATCTAGGGGTATTTTGGTGGCGGAATGAAAGTGGAGGGAATTCGATGCAAGAAAAAATAAAAGAAAAAGAAGGATAAGAAAACCGCGAACCTTGGAATCCATCAAGATTGACGGATATTGCTTTTGCCCCACTTGGGCCTCTCCTCTCATGAACTCACTAAGAGATCATCAAAAGAGAGAAAACTTAGAACTCACAAAGAGATCCATAAGCACAAGCTGAAAATTTCATATTAATCATCATTAGCCCTTCTCCAAGAAGAGGAGGGATTTAAATTGACAAATACAAGAGGGGAAAAATAAAAGACAACAATGCCCTCGGGGCTTACAAAGAACTAATCCCTTAAGCAAGAGCATAAATGAAAAAAAGACAGTAAATAAATAAATACATCACATATAAATGAAATAAAAAAGGCGTTATCATAGCCGTCGATTATCGGTACGTCCCTGATGGAACATTAAGGGTCTGAAGTCTGCATCAGAAATTGTTAGGAATGATGAAAGAATTTTTGAGAGCCCAAGTGCTTGAACTTGCCTTTGAAAGATATTTGATTTTACTATAATGTGAAAAAATGGCTTAACTATTAAAGTCTGACCACTTCGTTTCAGGCAATTGTCATTGCAGAATGACGAAGGCCAGAAAATTAATGAATGTTGATCAATTTGATGGAAGTAATGGAAATGCAAAATCATCCAATAAAAAGATCATAGATCTTAAACCTGTTCCCGCTTGCGCGTCAGGAGTTGGCTTGCCTTATGCTCCCGAGGACTGGCCAAATCCCGGAGATAATTGGACTTGGAAGGTAGGAAACAGAAAAGCTGCTAGTGGACACTGGATTGACAGGTTTATTTCTCCACCAGGCTATTTCCCAAAAGTTTCAGGTTGCAAACCGAGGTTCCAAAGCAGAGTTTCTCTAGAGAAATACATTCGGAGTGAATTTCCTTATGCTGATGCTGATGCCTTTTTTGCTTCTTTTACATGGAGAGTTCCTGCTGAGTGGACTAGCTTGGCAGGTTTGCTTTTAATCCAGAATAAACTTTTTTTATCTTTCAAATTTGATATTTTTTATTCCTTTGGTCTACTTTGTATTGTCATGGGTTTCAACGTGAGTTGTCATTATTCTTAATCAATTCTCCTTTAATAACATGTGGTTGCGATACCTCAAAAAAAAGGAAGCCCAAAAGGCTATAAGCAAAGTTCAGGTAAGACTTTGCAAGGCACACACGTTTGATCCTAAAATGAAAACTAAAATTGAAAGGCTATTTTTGGCCGATCATGGTTATAAATTGCATAACCCATGTGTTGAAGTGTCATCAATGTCAAATATATTATAATATCTTGCACCGACATCCTAACTTGGTTCATTTGATTGGGACATCATGACCTTTCAAATGATGTGTAAAAGTATTATTGGTCCAATTGATCCGCCATACCCATACACGAAAGGACATATGTTCAACCTAGTGTCCGTCATTAATTTTGTGAAGCAGGTAGAAATAATACTAATAAAAGAAGTCAAATATGATAGTATGTTTCTTTTCTTTCAAGATCATATTATCTATTGCTTTGGTTTACCACGTTGAATCATCTCAAATAACACTTCCTTTAAAAGTATAACAAATTTCATATTTGCTCGTCGACATCAAATATATTGGTGATATTCACTAATCTATTATGCTACTAGGGCAAATGAACCAACATAAGCATTCAACAAAACGATGATCAAGTTTATCAAAAAGCTTTTTTCTGCCAACAAATGAGAATGACATTAAAGTTAATTGAAGCTCTAGGAGCATATTGGATAATTTGAGGAATTACTCTCCATAAGCTAGCATTTGGGATTAAAGTCGTATTTTCTCTAGAGATAGTGCTTTTTTCATCATATAACAATTCATCCTAAGCTGACCACTATGGATAATGCACTCTTAAAGATTGGAGGAAATTGAAATATTTGATGCAATTCGACTTCAAGCCTAACAAAATCTTAAACTTTCCTAGGCATGGATGGCTTAGGCTCATGACCAAGTGGTCGACCAATATCCTTCAAGGTTGGAGACATTGTGAGTCCTGAGATGGTTGATTGCATCTCGTTATGACATTGGTGGTAAATGCAAACTTAATTTGGAGGGCCCTTGTGTCATCAAGGCAGTATACTTAGGAGGACCTTATCATCTTCTTGGCCACAAAGGCATAAGATCAATGCCTCTTAAAAATGGTGGGTATTTGAAGAAATATTATTCCTAGATTTAAATAATAAAGCCACTAGTTCAACTAAGATGAGTTTGTGTTACAAAAACTTAAAATCGGTCACTATTGGGCAAAAGATTTGGCTTGAGTCAACAAAACTCAAATTCATAAAATATTAATTTAATTGCCCCTGCTTTGTCTCACTACACAGGAAATATCCCAATTTGGTCAATGAATCGGACTTTGGGTCACAAAAACTCAAAGTTTTCCCACTATTAGCTCAATATAAATTGTTAATCTTGGTCAACTTTAAACTTAAATCCAAAATTCAAATTATCCCAGAGAAGTTTAGGTTATAACAAGTTAACCTAAGCAAATTTCAAATCACACCTCTGGGTAATAAAGGCCATGTTCCAATAAAATTGGGAACCAAAATTTTGAATTATCAAAAAAGTTTTAGTTATAATGATCTAGTCCCAACAAAATGGGGTAATTAAATTTCAAATCATGCTGAAGTTAAAGTTATAAAGATCTAGTCCCAATAAAATTGTGCTACCAAATTTCAAATCATCCAAGAAAAAAATGAGTTTAAATATCAAGTCCTGAGCAAAATTTTGGTAATCAAATTTCAAATCATCCCAAAAAATCAAGGTCGCAAAGAGCTAGTCACACTAAATTTACAAATTATCAAATTAAATAATTCATTTAATTTAAAATTATTATTATTATTATTATGAAATTAATATTATTATTAAATATCAACTTATAAAGATCTAGCCCTAATAAAATTGAGGCTTTAAAGAAAATGAAGTGTGGAAATGCTGTTGGACCTGGTGATATTCCAACAGAGGTGCGGAAATGCTTAGGAGATGAAAGAATTTCTTGGCTTGCTAAACATTTTAATACTATTTTGAAGACTAAAAAGATGCGAGATGAGTGGATAATGAGTGTGTTGATTCCGATTTTTAAGAATAAATGTGATGCACAAGATTGTACGAATTATATAGGAATTAAGTTAATGTGTCATACTTTAAAACTATGGGAGCGAGTTATGGAGCGTAGGTTGCGGCGTGATTCTAATGTTTCTCAAAATCAATTTAGATTCATGTCGGGTAGGTCTACTATGGAAGCCATAAATTTATTGAAAGGTTTGATGGAGAAATATAGAGAGAATAAGGAGGATATACATATGATATTTATTGATTTAGAGAAAGAATATGATCATAAAGTTCCAAGAGAAGTGCTATGGAGAGTTCTTGAAAAGAAAGGAGTTAATAATGCTTATATTCAAATCATTAAAGATATGTATGCAAGAGCTATTACTTGTGTTCAAACACAAGATGGTTTGACCGAGTATTTTCCTATTTTGGTTGGATTACAACAAGGATCAGCCTTGCCCATATCTTTTTGCTTTAGTCATGGATGTTCCACTAGACATTTGCAAGAGGATGTACCTTGGTGTATGCTTTTTGCTTATGATATTCTTCTTGTTGATAAGAATAGAGAGGGAGTTAAAGTTAAATTTGAATTATGGAGGTCAACCTTAGAGTCTAAAGGTTTTCACTTGAGTAGATCTAAAACTGAATATATAGTGTAATTTTAGTAGTAATAGACATTGTGGGAGATCGTGACTTTGGAGGATCAAGTCATTAACAAGAGTACACGTTTTAGATATATTTGATCTATTGTTCAGAGTGATGGTGAAATAAATGAGGATATTATCAGTAGAATTCAAGTTGGATGGTTGAAGTGGAGGAATGCATCAGGCTTGTTGTGTGATAGAAAAGTCCCCCCTCAAACTTTAGGGAAAATTCTATAAGATGGTGGTGAGACCTGCAATGCTTTATGGTGCAGAATGTTGGCCATTAAAAGAGAAATATAATACTAAGTTAAGTGTTGCAGAGATGAGAATGCTCAAGTGGATGAGTTGATTTACTGATGCAGACAAACTAGAAAGAAAAGTCAGATAAGGAGAACGATGGGCAACACTATAACCAAACTCGATTCAAATAGTAACAATCATCCAAAACACAAAACCGATGGACAAAACGAGAATTGAAATCAAACGAAACAAAAGAAAAATAAAATTACGCTATCCTCAGAATAGCCGACAGAACGATTTCCTCACATGCATTGAAATGTAGGTAAAGTAAAGTATGTGCTTAGGATTAGCAAACAGATGGTCCACCACAGCAGGAAGGTCCAAACGTCCAACCAAACTCCTCCAGCAAATGCTCCCAAATCAGCCAACCAACAACACTAGGAAGCTCAAGAAGAAAGATACAGTTGGGGTGGAACTTGCGTAGAGAAGAAGAGGTAAGAAGCCCAGACGAAGTAGAGAAGAGAAAGAAGTGGAACAAGCTCTCAAGCTTTTCCAAGAAGAAGAAAACCCTCAGGTTTTAGAGACTTAGCTCAACAATATTCAACCACCACCTCCCAACATCAACACCAGCTCAAATCCGAGAACCATTAGCCCAACCCGATAATCAGCAGTAGCCCAAGGGACCCAAACAAGCTAGCAAACTAAGGTCTACCAAGCCCAAGCACAACCTACTATGATCATTGGATGCCTTCCATCATTGGATAGCTAAAAACAATATAAAACTAAATGAAAAACTAATGTTCAATGTTTGATAATAAAAATACAAAAATCATGAATGCATCATTTACCCTTAGAGACAGGATACGAAATGAGCATATACATGAAAAGGTTGGAGTAGCTCCAGTGGAAGATAAGATTAGAGGGAGTCGCCTTAGATGGTTTGATCGCATAAAATGATGGCCTTCCGATGATCCGATTAGGAAAGTAGAGGTATTAGATTTGACTTATATTAAGAAAGGTAGAGGTAGAACTTAGAAGACTTGGTTAGAAAATATTAGAAATGATCCTTCTTTATTAGATTTAAATGAGAAATTTACTTTTAACTTGACACAATGGAGAAAAAAGAATTAATTTAGCCGACCCCACGTAGTGGGTCAAAAAGAGTTGTTGTTGTTGTTATTATTATTATTATTATATCATCTTCTATTGGCATATCAGATTTCAACAAATTGGCCTTGCCTAATGGTTTACCACAACAAGCTGAGTTTTCTATTGGGACTTTTTTCATTCAGCAGGTATCTCTGATTATTTCAGTTAAGACCAGTTGATGTTTAGCCCATATCCTTTTTAGGAGCTGCCATCATTTTGCCCGAAGTTAGCTAACTTAGGAAATCATTTCAAATTCCTGGAACTTATCATTCCCAAGACAATGCCATCTTACCTTATTATAATCGTTGATTAAGTCTACTTCGTAGGATTTTGTAGGGTAACTCTACCAGACCTCCACTGTATGTGCCTCAATGTACTCAAATCATTTGGATTCTACATCCGAATATTGTATAGTGTGAAAAGCTAGACGAATATTTCATTTTGAACACCTATACTTACATAAGATTTGAAATGACAGGAATTATGATCACCAGGCTCCTGCAACAATCTTTAGCATACATGTGGCATATGCTAGTCAAGGTTTGAACCCCCAAAAGAAGCCATTAGGATCAACCACTTAAGATGGCCGAGCATTATAATATATTGTGGTTATCCTCAACAAGCTATCTCCTAGCTGTCCCTTGGGAAGCAGCTTCTTCGATAGTTGTATCCTAAAGTTGTTGTCTTATATCCTAAAGTCGACTATAATTAGCATATATACGAATGGTCAACGGTCAACCTGGGCGCATTGACTTCCTCAGGCTTATTCACTGAGAAGTCAACCTGGGCGCATTGACTTCCTCAGGCTTATTCACTGAGAACTCGGGGTTCTTATTCTGATAACTCGGGTTCCTTTGCTAACTTCTCTAACTGGCATCTACATCAGTGAGTTAATTAAATTGGATCCGATTATCCCAAGATGTTATATTTGAGATGTCCTAAGATGCCACATTGGATATTGGCATCACCCTTTTTTGACAGCTTGTTTTGTCATGCCAGAGTCAGCATATGTCAAAGGCTTGATGACTCATAATGCCCACAACATATCCCTACTATCCTGACACTCTTAAGAGCCCAATAGTCATTCGATTGTTTGGTAGCTAGCATGTGGTTTTCTCCCAGCATGACAAGGGTCTTATGACCTCTATAATGCTAGTGCCGATGAAATGCGTGAATTCAATTATGCCTACATATTATCCTAAGTTCTAAAAGCCAAGTAGGAGAACACTACGATAAATCAGAATATGACTCTTCCTTTAGTAAACAAAACCATTAACAAAGAAAGAAAACTAAATAGAAACAGATGAACAAGAACAAGGAAACTTTGCAAGAAAATAAAATTAAACATAAACTTCCCTCAGAATAACCTAGAAAGGTCACGTCACATGCAAAACTGAAAATTAAAGAATGGTGCTCAAATGGAAAATTCAAACCCGAGGTTCGCCACAACAAATCTTGATCTAACACCGGTCGGCACTCCTCTAGCAAATACCAATAAAACCGGTCAAACAACACACCTCACTCACTATATTGGGAGAAGAAGGGTACAAATGGGAGGGAAACCATGGAGAGAATAAATATATAGAGGATTAGAAGAAGAATTTGGAAGAGGAAGATGACAGCTCTCAAGCTAGGAAGAAAAACCTTCAGGTTTTAGAGAAATATTAGCCAAAAATCTCCTCCAACAGCAGCAAACATCCCTATATATAGGGAGAAATGAACCCATCAACCACTTAATATGCCACCCAAATAGCCAATGGAACCAACGTAGGAAAAAGCTAAGGGAGTGGAATGGACAACACAGGAAACCAACAGCCATCTATTCGAATTCTACATTGGAACCCAACAGAAGTCCAACATCCACCAAACCAAGCCAATAGGAGACAACATTACATAGGAAATGGTAGAGGGAGGGGACGGACAGCATGGGGGAACCAAACAACCAAAAGAATAAGAGGAATCTTTAGAATCCAACCAAAAATTCAACAGCCACCAATCCGAAACAAGCCAAAACACCAAACAACCGTGGGAAAAGGGAAATGGACCAAGCCCACTACAAAAATTCAGCCCATGAATAAATGCCCATTTAGTCAAAAGCAAGCAAACAAATTTACCAAGAGGAAAAAACCAAGGAGAGCATTATCCAAAGAGCACCGACCTAGCATGTTCATTGGTTGTCTTCCATCATAGGGAATAATAAAAAAAATCATAGTCCAAAATTACAAAACATTCAAAACATAAGAAATAAATTACGAAATAAAAATGATAGTTCTAAATTGCATTAGAGATGGGGTCCATGCGCCAAACTCGCATTTCATTTTCTTCGGTGATAGTTTCCCATGCCATTTTCTGCCATATCGATGCCATCCCAGGCTCTTTGGCGCCTATATAGACCTCTTCCTCCTTTAGGAAGGGGCTCTCTCACCATTTCCATGACTTTTACCCTATTTAGATATCAACTCTTTACATGCGCATCAAGTAATCCTCTTTCTTTCTCTCTCTACCCCTTCTCTATTGATGTTGGTCAACATGTAAGATGGATTTTCTCTACACCTCGTATATTTTCTATTTCTTATAGTGAACTTTTCCTCATCGCGCTATGGATATAGTCTACAAAGCCGAATTACTCATTGGTCTTCATATGCTATTCTCCTTTTCTCTCCTACTTCTTGTATTCACTTGGACTTCTTTACAATTAAGCTTTCATTTGGACCTCTTTGCAAAGAAGCTTTGCCCTATACTTGTTCCGAGGTTCTGTCGACACCACACTTTAACATTTAGTTTAACGTTGCGACTCTAATTAACTTTGCGTGAGTTTTTCCTCTACAATCCCATGGATACGAACCTTTTTCTTCATTTGAACTACCTTTAGTCCTCGTCTCTGCTAGGTGGATTGGTTCTCCATTCGTTGCCTCTTCATGTCTGTTCATCTTCCATTGTCAAATTGCGCTCCTTCATCCCCGTCGCCCAAACCTCATGAGTGCACCTGTTTGCTTGAGTTGGGATATTCTCCTACCAAATGCTTAATCCTTGCCACCCACTTCTCACATTCACTCTCTATGCGACACCACTTAGGGGCTAACTCATTCTCGCTATTCAAATATAGGGGGAGGTTGACTTAAACAATAATGTGATAGGACGTGGATGCAATTTTCAAAAAAATCAGCGGACGAAACACAAAAAATGTGAAAAAGAACACCCCAAAACAATTTTTATTGAAAGAACTATAAAGAGAAATACGAGATACAATTAGATCTTCAATTGGAGAGGAAGATCCGGCTCTTTCAAATTCTTAGCCGTCGGCTAGAGCCCAAATAATCTAAGAATAAACTAAATTCAGCAGACTCCCAAAAAACTTTTTGTTTATTTCAATTGACTGAATGCAAGAGTCCATATATAGAAAAGTAGAGAGAACTTAAAGGAAGAGAATAAAGAGGAGAGTTCTCGACTATGAGGATGCATTGCTGACATAAATCATCTTTTCTTAATTCAGCATTTCTTTCTTATTTAGCACTTTTCTACCATAGCACAAATAATTTAAATTTCATTTGAATTTAAACTATACTAGAATTTCAGGTGTTGAGAAGTCATCTAATGCGTATAAATATAATGGAAGTTTAGAGGTGAGTGGACTTCCTGGCTCAGAGTCAGCAATTAATTCCAGTGGATGTAAAGCTGGTAATGAAATGTGCTCAAGCATGAAAGAAAATAATGACCGGTTGAAAGTCAAGGCTTGTGATATATGCTGCAATGAATCTGAATTTTGCCGTGATTGTTGTTGCATCCTGTGCTGTGGGAGTGTTGATTATGCTAACGGAGGATTTAGCTTCGTTAGATGTCAGGCAATACTGGAGAAAGATCTTATCTGTGGGCACCTTGCACATATCGACTGTGCCCTTCGTGCTTATATGGCTGGAACTGTAGGAGGAAGCATTGGTTTGGATGCAGAGTATTATTGTAGAAGATGTGATAATAAAACAGACCTTATACAACATGTCATGAAGATGATACAAATTTGCGAATCTTTTGATTCCCGAGATGATATTGAAAAAGTTCTGAATTTGGGCTCTTGCATTCTTTTTGGCTCGGAAAAAGTTAGAGCAAAGAAATTGCGCCATTCCATTGGAACGATTGTGTCAAAGGTACTAGCTTGAAAGATATTTTTCCCTACTACATAATAAATTGAACTATGATGTTTATCCATATGCCTTATTATCTTATATTAGTGTATTTCCTTATTCAACTAGCCATTGTCTGATATTTAATCCAGCTTAACCGTGGAATCAATCTAGCTGAAATCTGGAAAGCAGAGAATGACATCTCAACAATTTCTTCAGGTCAGTTTAATCAGCCTTCACTTTTAGATTTAGCTCAGATTCTTTATTATGCTGTATTTTTGTAATGCGGAAATTCCTGTAAATTTGACTAAAATGCTTGCATTCTATGCTAGCAAGCATCCTTTCTGAGCTGTTAAGGACATGCTATTTGCATCAGCTATGAAGTAATTTTGCACAAAAACGACATTTTTTTTCAACTAATCTCTTGATTTTCACATGATCTATAGGTTTACGATATATTATATATAGTCCATTCAAGTATTAAAAAAAAAAGAGATTTACATAGATACCACATTATACTACTCTATTTACATATTTAACATCTAAAACTTTAATATTACATACATACCACCCATACTTCATTTTTCATATCAAATATGAGTGATAGAAATGAAATATATGAGTGGTAGGAAGGAAATATGAATGGTATATTTGATATTAAAATAATATAGAGTGGTATGTATGTAATATTAAAATTTTGAGTGTTAGATATGTAAATAGGATGGTATAAAGTGGTATGTATGTAAATTTCTCTAAAAAAATAGTCCATTCAAGTATTGAAGGTGAATGTTTGCACCCGCTTGGCAACCGAAGCTTTACTTTTTTCTGCCATGGGAGCAAACTCAAGATTCAATCCATGATTTTATCACCAAAAAGTTAGTTTGCTTGCAGCCATGTCTGTTAGATTGATTTTATCACCAAAATGTTAATTTTCTCGCATCCATGCCTGTTTTTGAAGCATGGCTGAAAACATCAGAACCATTATCATTTGTCTTATCCGAATCCTTTGGTATTGGTGGATGGAGACAGGCATTTTCATAGAATGTGATTGGGCATGGTAAACCTTTAAAAGTAGGATTGATATCGCAAAGGCATGTAATTACACACAAGCACAAATATTGTTTTTGATATGTGAGTTTTGAGACAAATGCACCCTGTAGTCTTCAAACTTAAGATCACATAATTGAATGTGATCTGGGGCTCGGTATGGTTGATATTGACCCTATCGCCCTTGATATGGCATCAGCTGCTTGCTGCCACTTTATTCTTATAATGATTGAGTAATTCTCCAAATGGGCCGAAGCCACCCCTTAGAGATGATAACCTTATTAAAAAGCCCTATTGTTTACTGGTTCGATATACTTGCTGGATTATATCAGACAGTGAACCAACATAAAAAAATGGCAAACTCAGTAAGTTCATGGACCTCCACATGATCATTTGGCGCTATTGTGCTATTAATAACTTAAGGGCAAAATGTCTTGGTTCAAGCTTTAGACAAAACCCAAGTGAAACTAATGAGCAAAACTGATGCGAAAAATAAATGAGAATAACAGAACAAGCTGGTGGAGGCGTTATGAGCTTATAGACTATATACAAAATCCTTTCCAAAGCAAACTTTATGCATCTGTGTAGGTAGGAGAGATTGCGTTTCCAGTCAAAGTTGAGCATTTTTGTCTTGCAAAATGTAATTGAAGAAGAAAATATTTACCTATGGCTATAAGAACTTGACATGCTAGATGGAGTTCGTCTACAAGCACAACAAAATATGGAAAGTAATCTGGTAAGGATAGATCATGCACATAACCGTATGGTCTGTCCAAGAGCATTATAGGATGTTGACCTCCATATGTGTTTTACAATCAAGTGCGATGAGAATGGAGAACGACCAACATAACACCACACAAAATGAGTTTGAAACGTCTTGACAACGACCAAAACCACTCAAGCATTGCCCGCTCATGAAATAGATTTTGTTAACTGATCAGAGCGCTAAAATACCAAGGAATTATCCATACAATCGATTAGATCGAACGCAATGAAAATGATGGACTACAAATGCGATGTTATATGAAAGTTATCCACAATATTGAATTTACCCAAAAGGGGCATAGTGCGTTCACCTCGATCAATCGCGATGAAAGTGATGAATTATGAATGCGATGCCATGCAAAAGTCATTCGAATTTCACCCGTTCTTGAAACAGATGCATCCGAATCGTCGACATTACCCTAAAATTACACCTATATTACTAGGCTTGCTGTAAGAATGTGAAACATAAAATTTACTTACATGTGAGGTGACGACATGTATTTTGAGACACACGAGGAATGAGAAATTTGTGTGAAAATACAAGCACGCCTTTTTAATTAATTAATAATTTTTATTTCTATTATTCTAGTTATTTAATTCTATTAAAAAATAAAAATTTCAAATCAAAACCTCACTTCTCTGTAATTCCTGGCTTTCTCATATGCATCAAATACCAACTAGCCAAAAGTGTCTCATCCATCCCTTCTTTGTGTCCCTCCTATCCTATCGAATAGTGAGAGAGAGAGAGAAAGAACTTAATACTACCCAAACACCCCTACATGCACCTTAACTTGTTCCTCCTAATCTCTCTCTCTCTCTCACTCTCTCTCTCTCTCTCTCTCTCTCTCTCTCTTCTCTTTCACAAGCTGAACAAGCTAGCCATCTTCCTCCTCCCATTTTCATGTGTCTCCCTTCCCCTATCTCACGTAAAACTACTCACGATCCCATCCTCTATTGCCGTTCTTCTCGTTCAGCCTCTGCCTTCTTGTGGCAACATCTAATCCCTCACCGACCTTCACCTATTCCCACCTCCCTAGTCACCTCTCTTCCTCTATGATTCCCCAGCTTGAACACGCCTCCGACCAATTATCGTCGTTGATTACTCATCATGCCTCTGACAAACCCAACTCCAGTCCTCTTCTCCTTCATGCCCTATTTCTTCCACACGTTAGCACTTCATCTCTTCCCTCAGCATGCTGCTACTGATTTCCACTTTTTCGCCATTTGCAACCTCTAGCCCCACCGGGAGCCCATTTAGACTCTTTAGAAAAACTCAGTATGCCAGCTCCTCATTCCCTTAATCTTTCTCCATGCCATTCCTCCTCTCTCTGTCCATCTCGGCAAATTATTGGGTAAGGTGACCGGAGGCGGAAAATAAGTTCGGACATTCAATAAAAATTTGCCGCGTCACCTTGCGCTTTAGTTGCGCTTTTTGACTTGCGCTTTAGTTGCACTTTGGTTGCGCTTTAGTTGCGCTTTGGTTGCGCTTTAGTTGCGCTTTTTGACTTGCGCTTTAGTTGCGCTTTACCTGCGCTTTAGTTGCGCCTTACTTGCGCTAATTTTAAAATAATATTTTATTAATATCCAGACCTATCTCTGCGTTCGGTCACCTGACCCAATAATAGGCATCTCACACTCTCTCTGCAACCCCTCTTTCTCTCTCAATATTTCTTTCTACCTCCTCTATTTTTTCTCTTTAAGCAGAGAGGTCAGCATCACTTTCTTTCTCAAAACAAAAAGTTAATGTCTCTCAGCTCTCACTCTATAAATATAGTGAAGTTCATCTCTCTCTTTCCCTCACTTTCTCTTTCCACATCTTTTTCTCTGACAACTCACCTTCATTTTCTATCTCTAAACAGAGAGAGAAGTCCATCTCCCTCACTCTTTCTCTCTACCACTCCCTTTCCTGTAGTTTACCTTCACATAGGTTGTAGATGCAAAAAGAAAATTGGAAGAAAATAATATTGTCCTCTCCTCTCAAGAGAAGAAAAGCATTCTCCTTCCACAAGAGGGAGAGAGAGAGATAACTATACTTTTAGTACGTTAGTAGCACGTGTCCTCACCACATTTTATATCATTCGTCCATCTGTTTGAGTGGATGAGATTTAAAGTAGAACATCCTTTTTTTTTCAATTCCTAATGCGATATTTTAGAAGTTGAAACCCACTTTCAACCTCAGTAGCACCCAGTGAAAACCAACAAGAAAACTAAGCTAGAAATCATAGATGATGGTAGTGTATGCCACTGTATGGTATCTGTTTCTCTGTTTAATATAGCCATGTGAGCTGTGCTTTTTACCATTTTGCAAACTCTTAAAGGTGTGCACTATCTTACTCTATTTGAACCGAATTCTTCTTTTGGTGTTACTCTGTTGATGCAGCTCTTTCTGGTAGGGAAATAATATTACTTGATTCCCCAGAAAATTCAAGAGATGACACCCCCATGGAATCAATATTTGATGTCGGGAATTCATTTCTTTATGGTAAAAATGAAGGGGAACTGCAGGGGCCATTATACATTACATCAGATCATACCGATGTATCTGCTAAGCTTGAAGATGAAATTGATCACACCCTTCGTAGTTTAAAAGACTCACAAGAATCTGAATACAAGATTGCTGAAGAAAAGCTTTATGCCCAGAAAGACTTTCTTCTTGGTCTATACCAGCAGCTTGAAGTAGAAAGAGGCGAACTTGCCAGGCAAACACCGTTCACTAATGGCAGCGATAGTGATGCTTTGCTCACTAGTGTTCTAAGCAGAGTGGATCAGATAAAACGCGAAGAGATAAAACTTAAGCAAATGATGAGAATTTCTGAAGGATGTGCACGCTTGCCTGGAACAATCCTTAGGGACTACTTTGATATATTAGTTGATGACTGAATCAAATTAACCCTTCTTTCATAGCAGTCACATGCTAGAAGTATTATGTTGTTGTGCTGCAATTGTCTGAATGAAGATGGAAATGATGAAGTAAATTCTTCTTCTCTTAGGTTTTGTTTGGGACGACTTTCTTACTGTTTTTTAAAGCAACTTTTTAGTGCATAAATTAAAATTTTTGTGCTACAAAGCTGCTTTAATAAACAGTAATAAAGCTGTCCCAAATGAAGCCTTAGTTATTCTTTTCATTTTCTTTATTCCTTGCTGCAGTTTTTTCTAATTTTACACCTTCCTTGCAGGTTCAAGATGTTCAGAAAACAGCTATCATCAATCTATCTGGAGCCTGTAATGAGACTGGCTCAGGAGTCAGGACCAACTGTGAGTTTCATATTAGTTGAGAAAACAAATAATTTCTCTGCCATTTGGTATATTTTTCTCATTTACTTTGATATGATATGGGGTTGCATTTTAACTTTATGTGCAATATATTAGCAAATGGTTGTTAACTTTGGCATAGTATGCCTCAATTTTCTTTAAAAATATGATTAGTGAAAGCATGTCTTTAGCTCCAGTTTGCACCTTACATAACTAAAATATGAAATTAAACCTTGCTTGGAGTGCTTACTTTATAGAGGTGCCTTTTTAAGTTAAGGCTTCGTTTGAAACAACTTTCTTGCTATTTTATGAATCGGTTTTTTAATACAAAATTTTTTGAACTTTAAATTCTTTGAATGTGGAGTGATTTATTATAACTAGCGCCCGCCCGCGCTCACCCGCACCTGCACTTGCCCACACACGCGCTCTCGCCCCCTTCACATGTAAGTGCTCGCGCCTACACTCACACGTGCACCACTACTTTGCTGGTCAACGTGTAGGGACGACCCGTATTAGGTCCAGGTCAAGTTCAAGTCCAGGAATGTGATACATTTTGCAAATTAGGTCAAGGGGTTGAATGTGGGTCAATTTCGAGTTGGACTCGAATCCGAATAGAAAATCCATTTTGACACCCCTAATAAGCATGCAAGATTTGAAGATCTTTTCGTATAACAATTAATATTTAAATTTTTTTTAATTAATGATCTAGGCTTGTTATAACTCAAATGATATCACTTTTATTACTGATGAGTTAGTCTTGATTAGCTTGACTCTAAATTTATTGAGATGTGATTAAATTAACAGTAAGTTTAGCACATTATTAACTAATGATTTGACTTGATTAAAACTAATAATTAAGTCCAATTGTGTTTATTGACATTGATGTTCAACGGCATGAAGAAAATTACTTCAAAAGCCTGCATTGATAAAGAATGAGCAACTACAACTCTATGGTCATGTGAATTTCAATTTCATTTGATGGATTGTGACCACCTAATACTAATTATTTTAAAAAGATATGATGATTGAAAAGGTATAACCAATTTTTTATAATTTAAATGTGTGATTATGGTTTCATTTGGGATAGCTTAATTACTACTTTTTAAAGTAGTTTTTTAGCATATTTTTTAAAAATAACAAAAAAAAATTGTGGTTAAAAGCTGTTCCAAACGAAGCCTAATGTGTATTGTTTGGTGCAAAATTGTGGAGTTGGTAAAGAATTTTCTCTCTAATTTAGAACACCATGTTTGAAGCACTAATCACTAACATATTAATATTTATGATTAAATTACTCGTCACTAAAAAAAGTTTATTATTCATAACTCAGATTTCATTTGTGATAGTTTTCTTCCTATTTTTTTAAAGCGGTTTTTTACTATACATTTTTTTTGAACTATAATTCTTAATAGTAAAAAGCTGTTTTAGAAAACAGAAAGAAAGTTATCCCAAACAAAGCCTCAATCATCAATGATAATTGAATCTTTGTTCAAACCTTCTTCAATATGAGTTCAAGAGCTGTGATAATGATTACTGTTCTCTTGACCGTTAAGTCACATAAACAAACTTGCTGAATCAAACAATCTTTAAATATAATTAGATGAGTCATTGTAGGTAAATGGACATGTTGGTAAAGAGGTAGTTGATTTTAAAAGAAGGCTTGATGTTGTTGTTGTTGTTGTTGTTGAGTCATTGTAGGTAAACTTGTTCATATCAATCACATAGTTCATGAAATAGCATGCTATGTAGGGCTGCAAATGAATCGAGTCGAGTTGAGCATGTGTTTGTTCATGTTTGGGCTTGTTTATTATCTGGCTGTTCATATTCGTCGGAGCTCGATTCAAGCTTTCTTGTTCGTGTTCAAAGTTGGTCCGTTTAAGTTGATAGATGTTCATATATATTTTTTTTGTGTTTAGTTCTAGTTCGATTCTTTTCATGCTTATTGACCTTTAAACAAACGAGTTTTTATCAAGTTTTGTCAAGCCAACTAACAAACATATTTGCAAATATTTCTAATGACTATTTTAAACTATCAAACGAGCCTGTTCATGAACATATATAGTGAGTGTTTTTGATATATCAATCGAAATTATTCGCGAACATATCTAGTAAAAGTTTGGGGATATTATCAGCAGAATTCAAATTGGATGGTTTAAGTGGATGAATGCATCGTGCTTGTTATGTGATAGAAATGTACCCTTCAAACTTAAGGGAAAATTCTATAAAATGGTGGTGAGGCTTGCAATGCTTTATGGTGCCGAATGTTGGCCATTAAAAGATAAGCATAATACTAAGTTAAGTGTGGCAGAGATGAGAATGCTCAGGTGGATGAGTGGCTTTACCCTTAGAGATAGGATACAAAATAAGCATATACGTGAAAAGGTTGGAGTAGCTCCAGTAGAAAGATAAGATTAGAGAGAGTCGCCTTAGATGGTTTGGTCACATAAAAAGACGGCCTTTCGATGATCCGGTTAGGAGAGCAACATATCATGAATAAGTAATTCCACAAATATAGTTGTGCAAAAATATTAAACCAAATAAATTTAAAATTCATAACCCCTCAAAAAGTAATTCAACAAATATAATTAAACAAAATCAAACACAACATATTTTTTTATCAGCTCATTTATCACTGACAAAAGAAAATTACAAGAAATCCATAAGCAAGATCATGTAATCGTGGATAAAAATAGTTCAATTCTTTAACATAAAATATTTGGCATCCAATATTATGTATGATTTAAACAAGATTTAGCATAAATCCAATAAAATATAAATCTTTTTGTTTTTAAAAAAATTAAAGCATAAAATAAATTACCAAATGATTAATGAAACTTAGCAAGATTTTATAGTTGTCATGCTCAATAATTTTCAAGATTTAATCCTCTCAGAAATTCAGTAAATCTAGATTTATAAAATTTATTAAATCTTACTTTATAGTCAGCAAAAATGATGCATTCTTTATCCATATAAAATAATTTTTCACCCACTTAAAAGAATAAAAAGCCAATAGACATCAAAGGAGATAATTAAGGAAAAGAATTGTAACTATGTTTCTCAATCTAAAAGGCAAGGAATTAAAGTTAAAGGCATAAAATATAAATATATAATTAGATAATATCATAAAATAAAAATAAATTTAATGAAATTAAACATACTAATATAATATCAAATAATAAATACTTATGATGTATTTTTATTAATATATATTATGATATTTTATTAATTTTATAATTTATTAAACACTAATTATTATAATTTAAAATTATAATAAACATAAAATATTTATATTAGATATATTATACTTTCGTATCAAATAAAAATTGAGCTTTTTAATGAGCTCCTAACAAGCTTCTTATCGAGCATGTTCATGAGCTTAAGACGATATTGTTCATAAATATAAAACGAACCAAATAAATGGTTCAACTTATTATTAAAGTGTCAAGTATTTAAAAAAAAATGTTTAGGATTGTTTGATTACTTAATTAAACGATCAGAATGAGTTATTATAGAGTCGAACTCAGTAGCTGTGCGAACACTCAGTTCATTTACAACCTTATTGCTACGGTGACAATTTTAGTAAATTCATCATGCTAAAAGTTTAAATAAGTGGAATATCTATGCTTCTTTTATTAAAAAAAAAAAATATTGATTTTATGCTTATCCTCTAATAAAATATGTGAAATAATAATTTTAAAATAAAAAAAATATTAGCTTGAATTTTAAACTTCTGATTGTGAAATTTGGACCTTTAGAATTAGAATATTATATTAATCTATGATTTGCTTTATCCTTATTATCTTTATTTGTTTCTACTGATTTCTATTTTAGATGTTAAATATATTCTTATCAAATTATTTTGAATAATTTTTATTCGTGTGAGCTTTGATATATCCTTTTTTCATTTATAATCATCTAACATTAATTTAGACTTCATTTGGGACGACTTTTTTTACTGTTTTTAAAATAGAGTTTTAATATAAAAATTTTAATTTTTTATTAAAACTCTGCTTTAAGAAACAATAAAAAAGTTGTTCCAAACTTAGCCTTAATCTATAAATAATGGGTGTTTTTCTTTACTCAAAAGTTATATATGTCCAATAGGCTTCATTTGGGACAACTTTCTTAGGCTTATTTTGAGATAGTTTTTTTGTTGCTTTCTAAAACAATTTTTTAGTATAAAAATTTTAGTTTTGAAAATTTTGTGCTAAAAACTTGCTTTAAAAAATAGTAAAAAAGTTTTAGCAAATGAAGCCTTAGGCTTCGTTTGGAACGGCTTTTTTATTGCTTTCTAAAACGGAGTTTTAATACAAATTTTTTTATTTTTGTACTAAAACTTCGTTTTAGAAAGCAATGAAAAAGCCATCCCAAACGAAGCCTTAATGCTATGTAAAACAACTTTTTATCATACATCTATCTCAATGTTCTCATTTTTATTATATTAATTATACATGGATTTCAAGGAATTTATTAGTGCTCAAGAGATGGATCCCTTCATGTAACATTAATGATCTAATTTTTGTTTCATAAAATTTTCTTTTAAATCTTCGTTTGTGATAGCTTTCTTTCTGTTTTCTAAAGTGATTTTTTAATACAAAATTTTTAGTTCAACATATTTTTTACTAAATAGCCGTTTTATAGAGCAGTAAGAAAGTTGTCCCAAACGAAACCTAAGTCTCCAAAACATCATCATATTGCATAATGCTTCAAAGTTTTTGTTTTTTTTGTTTTAATTTTTTTTCAACAAATTGTATTTAATTCACGAAGCTAAAATGACACCCAAATTTACTAAAAAAAAGAGCTAGGGTGCTCACATAAGTCACCTAGGTGGATCATCATAGCAACTCCCCCAATTATTATCTCCATGAGGATAGTAATGCCTAGTGCTCCTTTTTGCACAAATTGAATCATAAGGTTTGAATTTAAAGATTTGGTATAGCATCCACATTTAATGCTAAGTTAAGTGTGGCAGAGATGAGGATGCTCAGGTGGATGAGTGGCTTCACCCTTAGAAATAGGATACGAAATGAGCATATACGTGAAAAGGTTGGAGTATCTCCAGTAGAAGATAAGATTAGAGAAAGTCGCCTTAGATGGTTTGGTCACATAAAACGACGGCCTTCCGATGACCCGGTTAGGAGAGTAGAGGTATTAGATTTGACTTATGTTAAGAAAGGTAGGGGTAGACCTAAAAAGACTTGGTTAGAAAATATTAGGAATGACCTTTCTTTATTAGATTTAAAAGAGAATTTGACTTTTAATAGGACACAATGGAGAAAAAGGATTCATTCAGTCAACCCCACGTAGTGGGATAAAGGCTTGATGTTGTTGTTATTGTTATTGTGGTATAGCATCCACATGCCTCTATTTATAGAAAATGATAAGTCTCATTGTGAAGAATATGTAATGTTGATCACCTCTGAACCTTTACTGGCAATTACCCAAGCCAGCCCTAATCTTAATGGGTTGATCGTGTATCTTTTCATAATATTTGTATGATATAAGAGTATAATCTGCATCATAATAATAATGATAAATAATCTTTATTATTTTGAATAATAATTATAGTAACCTTATCAAAATATATAAATAAGCCTCAATTTAACTCAAGGCATTATAATATTTCATGGTATCATTATTTAAGGGTTAATGATGTGACCTAATTGATGTAATGAAATATATACTTTATTGGCTTCTATATTTATATATACTTATTAGGCATAGCCCTTAGGAGTGTAGGATGTAGGACTCAATCCCTGATTTTTCAAGGTCAAGTCTGACTCAGATTTCGGGTCATGTCAAAATTTGACGCCCTAAAATAAAAAATAACTAACTATGAGCTCCTTGACTATAAAATATATTATTTCAATGGATGTATCTCTTGTACTATATCATTGAATGATATTCCATCATTTTTAAATTATTAGCATTTTTTAATATAATATTAATTTTCTTTTATTATGATCATCTAGAAAATATAAAAGCCAAGAAAATCCTCATGATTTTTAGATTTTTTTCCAAATTCATTATTTCCTCCAAAAACCAATCGTTATCTTAAGAGAAAATCTTTCTCATTCAAACAATTACTATGATGCATGATACAAAATAAAAAAAATAAATGAGAAATAATAAAAACACTTAAAATAAAGAGGATAAATATAACTTTTTAATATTTTTAACAATTTTATACTAAATTTATTGAATTTTATATGTTTAAAATATATTTGATATTAATATTTTTAAATGAATCGGCTCACTTGTTGATGAGCCGAGTCTGAATTGACTCAAATTTGACTTATTAAAAATTTATTAGCACAAAATTACGATTAAAAAGATTATAAGGAGCGATCACTTACTCGACAACAACTTTGATGTCTTCTCAATGCTATGAACAAAATAACATTTTCTAATTATAAATTAAACCTTTTATAAAATTAGAGAAAAATTATTAAAAATATTTTCTTTAAAACCATCGAGTTCCACTAATGCAGAAGTTATTACATGCGGAATTCGAACTTAGATCGCATTCAGACTCTAATGTATATAAATCACGTGACTTATATAAGTGATTATTACGTGCGGAGTCCAGACTCAGAAAACCATTTGGTTTTGTGGCTTTGAACAATGTTACTGTTCACAATCACAAAATTGAACAGTTCGCTGTATCTGAACTCCGCACATAATTTTCTTCATAATAGCTTCTAACAACTGATCTTCTTCTAAATTACGAACGCTAGCAGGGTTTCTTCAGTAATTATCTAATAAATAAAGGTTTATTGCGTAATTAAACCACCTTACTCGTTTTCAGTCTTCAGACTCGGCTTCTATCCTCTGCGAGCTGTGTGGAAGAGATCGAGACGATCGAAACCACAAAAAAAAATCTCCGAGGCGAAATCGAAGTTCGATGAAGAGTATCTTTCGTAAGCTTCACATCGGAGGCGGCCATGAGCCTAATCGATCAGGAGAGATTTCCTCGTCTCCGGCTGCCACCGCTGCTGCAGTGGCGGTTTCGGTCGCTTCCGATCAACGGACGCCGGCGTTGCCTTCTTCGCCGACACTACCGTCCCCGGTCGAAGGGGAGAGAGTGTTGTCGGCGGCAACAGAGAGGGTGGATTACTTTTCTTCAGAGGAGGAGTTCCAGGTACAACTAGCGTTGGCGATTAGCGCGTCTAAGTCGGAGTTCAGAGAGGATCCTGATGGTGATCAGATCCGTGCCGCCAAGCTGTTGAGCTTGGGAACGCGTAATCAGGGCCGAAAGGAAGAGGGGGCGGCGGAGTTGCTTTCCCAGCGGTATTGGGTGAGTGTTCGTTTTCATGAGTTCTGATATCGGAATCTAGGGTTTCAGATAAGTTGTTGTGTGGGTTGATTGGTTAGAGGAGCTTCTTTTTGGGTATTTGGTTTTGTCATCATTAGAGGATCATGATAGTATGGAGTACTTGAGTAATTTACATATGGAAATGCTTTGTCTGTTGTGCTCATGTTTGATCGTCTATTAAAAGTGCATATGTTTTGTGGTTGGATTCAGCAACATGTCATAGAATTTGAGCAGTGGAACATGTTAAGAGTCTGCAGGTTCACAGTGATAAATGGTGACTTTGAGTTCGTTGGCAACAATAGAAGTTGAGGTTTAAGAAGAGGAAGAAGAGGAATTCAGATGAAGAAGAAGAATTCAGCAAGGAAGAGTGTTTTTCATTTCATAATTTAGCATGCCCTAAAGTTCCATGTCTAGACTATTTATAAGCGATATGAGACCCATAGATTATGTAGTAGCTCTTAATATCTATTACTTATCTAGTGACTCACAAATACTCATTGATATATTCTTAATATAACCATTACATTATTGTTCATATCATTATCGATCCCTTTATAATTGATTTTGCCCATAAGTTCAAAGCACATAATAAAATAGGAGGTGGGTGGCTGTTGAGCCATACTTCATTTTGATGATTTGCTCATGAAAATAGATGTGGTGTCCATTCATTCCCTTGTTCCCATGTGTCCTGTAAATGCTATAATATGTTTGGAGTGGTCTTGATAGGCATGGAGTAGTTTCTACAAAAATGGTAGAAAATATGAAATCTAGTGGCTGAGTAGTAAAAGATGCTTGGATTTTTAGTTGAATCAAGCTGGAAACTAGAGCAAGTGCCTACCATTTGTCATGTAGATAAATTGCAAGTGAGACAAATTGTAGAAGTTAATCAGGTGTTGATTTGTGATGGTTGATAGGACCATTGGAGCAGGTGGGAATGCATTGATGTCTTGGTGAAACACACATGGGACTTGAGTAGGTGCTTTGAATACTGATTGGATTGTTGAAGCAAGAGGTGTGTGTTGATATCAGAAGCTCTAGTCGGTGCATTTTGTTAAGGATCCAATGCATCGCAGGGCACTCACCACTAGAGCACACATTTTAGATATCTTGGGTTGAAATGGATGAGAATATTATTAGTAGAATTTAAGTTGGTTGCTTGAAATGGAGGAATGCATCTAGCTTATTGTGCGATAGAAAAGTACCCCTCAAACTTAAGGGAAAATTTTATATGATGGTGGTGAAACACAGTAATTTATGGTGCAAAATGTTGGTCTAGAAGAAATGCTTAAAAGGTGTTGTGGAGATGAGGATGCTAAGGTGGATGAGTGGCTTAGAGACAAAATGCAAAACAATTATATATGTGGAACGGTTGGAGTAGCTCTAGTGGCAGATAAGATTAGATAGAGTTGCCTTAGATAGTTTGGTCACATAAAACATCGACCATCGATGACCCAGTCAGGAGAGTAAATGTAATAGATCTGGCCTATGTTAATAAATTTAGAGGTAGACCTAAAAAGAATTGGTTAGAAAATATCAAAATATTAGAAATGACAGTTATTTGTTAGATTTAAATAAAAATTTGATTCTTAATAGGACACAATAAAGAAAAAATGATTCATGTTGTTGACCCCATTTAGTGGTATAAAAGCTTGATTATCTTGTTGTTGTTAATTTTTTGTTTCATTTTGTCGATGTGGTTCGAGTCCTCAATTGTTATATTTTAGCGGTTCATGTGCTTGAGTATTTCATTGAATACTTGTAAGGTAGTTGTTGGACAGACTTTTGGATGGAACAAGATGATGGATTTTGGGTGGATGGGGTGTTGTGGAAGATAAACTTTGTCGAAGTGGAGGGAAATTTGCGATTGTAGTGGATTTGAGCAATGGAGGTGGGAAAATTTGGGTGAATTTCCTTGAGTTTACATTTATTTGTTTATTTATTTTTTATTGGGAGATGCTCAATTTGAAGATGAGTGGGGGAGCGGATAATACTTAGGTGGAAAACATGTAATCACTAGCGACTGGGCAAGATGAATGGTGACGAATGGCAATGTTGTGGGGTGGATATGGATTGGGGTTGTGCTATAAAATTGGAAATTGTTAGAGGCTCTGGCGACAAGCAGTGATGTCAGTGTTCGATTGCTAGAAATTGAGTTGATTGCACCATTTTGTCTTTTTTTTTTTACAATGTTTTTTATCATGGGTTGGGTAGGTTGAATCTTTGATGTTGGTTGATGGGGAAAGTTTGAGCGATAGAGATGAGAGGTGCTAGTTGACAAGCACCAGATTGTGGCGATGCTCAAAGAGAGCCAATTGTTAAAATTTTAGACGTTTCTAATGATAAACGCCCACTTCTTGCTCATAAACAACTTTGGAAATTGAGGATTGCGAAGAAGAAGAATAATTTAGAGGAAGAAGAAGAATTCATCTAAGATGAGGGTTTTTCATTTCATCATTGAATAAGCCCTAAAATCTCTTAATGAAGACAATTTATAAACAATACAAGACATGTAGACGACCTATTAGCTCTTAATGCCTATAACTTATCTATTGTCTTGTAGATACTCATTGATATATTCCTAATATACCCTTTACAGTATTCCTAGTATATAACTTATCTAATATACCCTTTACATTGATCATATAATTACTGACCACTTTAAAGTCAACCTTGCTGTCAAGGTCGAAGCACGTAATAAAATAGGATAAAGCCATATAAGAATCACGTAAGAATATTGAGGTCATGCATATAAGCATCCATGTTGGTGAATCTGCAGGAGGTCGACGATCGTCGAGGCATACTTCTTTTTGATAATATTCGTGAAAATAGATATGGTGGCCATTCATCCCTTAGCTTCTGTGTGTCTTGCAATTGCTGCAATATGATTGGAATCATCTTAGTTAGGCTGGGAGTAGCTTCTGCAAAAATGGAAGGCTATATGAAATCTAGCGGGAGAGCAGAAGAGGCTGCTTGGATTTTCAGTTGAACCAAGCAGAGAGCTGGTGTGAGGGCCTTCTAGTCGTCATGTACATAAATTGCAAGCAAGATAGGTTGTAGTGGCTGATCAGGTATTGTTTTGTGGATGGTTGATTGAACTGCTGGAATAGGTGGGTATGCATCAATGTCCTGATGAATCATGCAAGGTCCTTGAGCGTGTGCTTGGATTACTGACTGTACCATTGGAGTGGGAAGGTGCATTGATGTCAAGATCATGAGTCAGTGCATGCCATTTGCTGAAGTTTTGAGTGCATCATAAGACACTTATCATTCATTTATGAACTAGAAATTCATGAGTAGCAGCTTCAAGTTAGACAATGTACTGGAGTTGGGGGGTACTTTGGCTGTGAACAAGTGTGACGAGGTCAAGTTTGGTACATGTGTATCTCAAGCCTAGCCAGCCTTCAATTAATGCAATTTAAAATCTCTCGAATCTTACCTATTTTTTTCCCATGATGTCAATGTGGTTGGAGTCCTTATTTGCTTCATCAATTTCAATGGTTGTGTTCTTGGATTTTCATAAAACATTTGTAAGGTACCTACTGAGAAGACATTTGGAAGGAAAAAAATGATGGCTGTTGGGTTAATGTGTGTTTTGGAAGGTAGATTTGGTTTGTGTTGAGGGAAATTGCCGATTGTAGTGGATCTAGGTGGTGTAGGTGGGACATTGTGGGAAAATAGGCATGAGTTTAGTTTTACTTTTTTTGAATAGGGATATGCTTTTTTTTTTAAGAGAAGCGAAGTTAGCGCACCTTTGATGAGGGAAACTATGCGATTGCTGGGCATTGGGCAGGACGAACAATGACGAATGACGATGTTGTTGGGTGGATGCGGATTGTGGTTGTATCAAAATGAGGCAATTGTAGGAGGCCCTGACGGCGAACAATGACGCTAGCTTTGGATTGCTAGAGATTGGAGGTTTTGTTTTGTTTTTTTACTTTTTAAATTTGTAACAAAGAAGGGTTTGGAAGGCTTGGCGACAAAGTCATTATTAGACCGGGGTTGTTTGGAATGTAGGCTTGGATTGGCTGGTAAAAATTGAGCGATGGAGTTTTGAGGTGTGGATAAATGAGCGCCAGGTAGCAGTGAGACTCAACAAGAGTACCAATTGTTAAAACCCGGAGGTTCACAATGATAAACGACTACTTGAGCTCACCAACAAGTCCATAAATTGAGGATTGAGAAGAGGCAGAAGAAGAATTCAACAGGAGGGTTTTTCATTTCATCATTTGGCATGCCCTAAAAGCTTCCAATGGAGACTATTTATGAACAATATAAGATCCATAGACTACCTTTTAGCTCATAATACCTATTATTCATCTAATGATTCACAAATACTCATTAACATATTCTTATTATGCCTATTGTATTATTGATCATTTCGATAGTTGAAGGTAGCAATATCTGGTATAGAAGTGTTTATAATCTCTCACAGCCAATGCTATGTGAACATTTTGAGGAGCTTAATATCAGTTGTTTTATTTTCTTATTGATTATGATCTTTTTCAGATCATCATGTTTAGACTTTAGGCTTTAATCGTGAGAGGATGGTCAGATAGATAAGGGCTTATTTCTTCTGTTTGATTGTTCTTTAGTTTGTAATGTCAGATGTCAACTATTTCTCATTGCTAGCAAAAGCACTTTTCTCTTTCCCAAAGTAAATGAGCATTTTTGAACTCACTTTTTTTTGTATAACAGTATACAACTTCTAGTTCTCACATTTTTACTTTCTAAAACACTGATTCTGCTGCCCTCCTTTTGTATGAGTAGGACTACAATGTGCTTGATTATGATGAGAAAGTTGTGGATGGGTTTTATGACATATTTGGGCTTTCCAATAAGTTGGCAAACCATGGAAAAATGCCATCTCTTCATGATCTCCAAACAAGTATAGGGGATCTTGGGTTCGAAGTTATTATTGTAAATCGTACCATTGATAATGCCCTAGTGGAGTTGGAGCAATTAGCTCATTGCATTTCTTTGGACTTCCCTGCTGCTGAGGACATGTTTTTGGTGCAAAGAGTTTCTGAGCTTGTTTCCCAGCACATGGGTGGTCCCGTAAAGGATGCAAATGACATGTTAGTTCGTTGGATTGAAAAAAGTACAGAATTAAGGAGCTCACTACAAACAAGCTTATTGCCCATTGGCTGCATAAATATTGGCCTCTCTCGTCATCGCGCTCTTCTCTTCAAGGTTTGTTTTTCTAGCTGCATGTCATTACATTTCGTTTAAACTTTTGCAGACTTTTGAGAAGGGTTACTGTCAACATCGCAAAAACTCATAACAGATTAATTTAGCATTTGTCATATATACAAATTCTCTTTTGTATTTACTTCTCGTGCAACATTAACTGTTATAAGTAGGAACTTGACACTAATGCTCTTAAAATATCCTTTTATTTATTAGTTTAGTGAGATGACTATCTGAAATCAGTTTTACACCCTACAAAATATTATTTACATGGGCAGATTATTGTGTGCATAGAGCCATATACAGCAAGCTTTTTAATACTATAAGTGTCAGTAAAATCCTTTCGCTTCCTTTTTATGTAATAGTAAGCAATACAACATGGACTAGGTGCGATAAATTAAACTTTTAATAGAACACAATGGAGAAAAAGGATTCATGTAGCCGACCCCACGTAGTGGGATAAAGGCTTGATGTTGTTGTTGTTGTTGTTGTTGGAGAATTGTATACCGGACATAATTGCATTGCTGAATCCTGTTTAGTCAGCAACATGGATGCCTTTGATGTTTTGTAGCATATGGCTTTCTAAAATTTTGCATTTGGAGGAGGAAAGACTTGTTTTTTTTTTCTTTCCTGGATAGGATTCTTATGATCCCATGATGTTATATACCTTGACAAATTGGTGCTCACTACGTGCAGTTATTCAGTTCCCTCTTAATAACTGCAGGTCCTTGCTGATAATGTTGGCATTCCTTGCAAGCTAGTCAAAGGAAGTCATTATACAGGTGTTGATGGTGATGCTGTTAACATAATAAAGTATGGTGATCATAGGTATATGCTCATGTGAATTATATTTTTATTTTCATTCTGTTATGATATCTTTCTTCTTTTGCCTAAGTTACAACATCTGACCTGAATTTTTTTAGTTTTATGCCAGACTATGTTGTGGCTTGATGTTCTCAACTTTTCCTGCAACATTACAAAAGAGAATCTTTCCATTTGAAAATAAGTTTTTTTTTCCTTACAATTGTTTCTTATTCAACAATTCTGATATATTTCTAAAGAACAAGATGATGATATATATAAAGGTTCATTGTGTTATGAGCCATAGAATTCAAGACATTGGAGTTTTTTGAATTGCTGCATCATATGAACGTTCAGAAGCCGATGAACATTATCCCTGGCAAGTAAACCGTGTAGGCTGTAAGGAGTTTGTCATGCTTCCTGGCATTATACATCCGAGATGTTTGGATGACAAAATCTTTTCAATAATGCAATTTAAATGTCCGAGCTGCTAATTATTTTTCCCAAAGTGTGATACTGAGCTCTTGCATAGCATCAACGAGTATAATAGCCACGTATCATACTCTTTAGCTGTTAAGCAGTTGCTAATATTAATATGCAAACTAAACCATATTATTTCTTGTTTAAGGGATAAACTTACCATTTCTATAATATTTCTTGCTCTTCCCTTAAGCTCCTTTGTTTCCCTTGACGTAATGTTATTTAGTACTCTTTTTATTTATTTATTTATGTTATTTAGTACTCATCATCATAACTATTATTATAATTAGGGTCGTCTTTATGATACCTCCTCCCTTCACATATTATCAGTTGCCTTGCAATGGGTTCTTGTTAACTGTGAAATTGAGTATCATGATTGAGATGATCTCCTTGCTTCATATTCAAGCAGTTGAAGCCCTGTCAGTCAAATTGGGGTAGTCGTTATTAATTCTCCTCTCCCATTTGAAGAGCTCAAGAGATTGCTGATTATCAGTTGCCTTGCAATGGCTTATTGTGAACTGGAAATTGGTAATGATTATTAACATGGCATCCTTATTTCACATTCATGCTATTGAATAGCTATGACTATTCTCACAGCTTATGACCTTAAAGTTTGTGGAATTAGAATCCTTTTCATATCCCTGTTTTTCCATGGAAATAAAAAAATCTAAATACATAATATAAGATTAACTTACCCGCTTTGCAATTTAGGTGAAAGACTTGTTTACGATGGACAATGTAATCATTTTGCCATTCCAATTCAAATGACTTGGGCATTTTATGTTAAAATTTGACATTGCCTCCCAACCTCTCTATTCTGGAAGCCTATTTTAATTATATCCCATCTCTATGGCTCCAAAGTCCACATTGCTGTAGATGGGTTGGCAGCTCATATTGCCCATATTAGCATCTATAGCTTGACAACCAATATTTCCATCAGTAGTACTACAGGAAGGAGTTCTCCATTAGTTGGCATTTATTGGTTGGCGTTGCATAAATAACTTTACAGGTAGTAGTTACTAGTTAGCAATCAATTGACATTCAGTGGTTGGCTTTACATATGCAATAGCCTTCAAAATTATCACAATGCGGCAAGTTTTCACTAAAACTACCTGAATTCGAACAGTTGTTCGTAAAAAAGCATATCAATCTGCATGTCAATTAAAGTTGTTTTAAATCAAAGCTAAGGCTTTTTTTATTCACTTTTGGCATGCATTGCATCCGAAATAAGGGACTGCGCGTTAGCTTTCATTTGGATAGTGCGTTTAGCATTTGCATCAGAATTATTTTGCATGCGGTAGCAGGCCTATGGATGTCTTAAAAAGATGTAAAAATCTTACGTGATTTATTATAATTACACTGACACTTAATAACTCATTCCACTGAAAACAGTTGATTCCTTGCTAGTAGCGGAATGAGGTTGATAATATCAAGAATAGGAGAAAGAAAAAGGTAGCATGCCTTTTATTATGTGTGCGTGCAATGTAGGTGGCTTGTCGAGTGGTTTAAAAAACTGTAGAGTTGCATAAAAAAAAATGTCTCAAGGCTTAAAGCCTCATTGTCACCAAGCTTGCCTCTTTTTTATGAGGCTTGCGCCTTTTTTATGAGGCTTATGCCTTGAGGCTGTATGCCTCGAGGCATGTGAGGCGGTGCCTCAATGTGGTATTGCAAATTTTTTTAATATTATATTATAATATCATTTAATATGCATTGTGGTATATTATATTTATATCTAACTAATCCAAGTCTCGTCCAATATACTCGTTCGACATTGGTGTTGCGATTTAGAGGTCTTCATTTGAGCTTTTTTTGTCTTCTTTAAGAGTCTAGCAAGAGTGGGAGGAGTGCAATCGAGAGTCGATGGGAGGAGGTGTAGTCAGGAGTCTTTTTTTATTAAGAATGAAGATATCAATGCTAACATTGAAAGACTAATGAATTTTGAGTCATTTCTACTTTACAAGCATTTAAAAGAAAGTAGCAAAATGGGTTTGGAGGTTCAAAAAGTCAATAGATAATTTAAGCATAATTGATTACTTGGTTGTGTTATTAATTTGTTATTTTATTTTAAATTATATTGAATCCAATGCTAACTGATATATGGGGTATGAAGAAAAATGTAATGATTGAAGAAGATTTCGAAGATGTCGATGAGGTAGAGTAAAATGATGATAGAATTATTACATTGGAGTCTTTTTTTGAAGATAATGAAAAAATAAGAATGAGGATGCTGTGGATCTTGATCTTCGTGGCATGTTGAAATTTTATGTGAGTGCTTATCTTAAATATTGTCTCAAAATTTTATTTTATATTAACATTTAATATAGAGATTTGTGATTTATATATTTATGATGATGGGCTAAGAAATTATATCAATGGTTTATTTCATATTTATGAATTATTTTTAATTTTAAAAGCTTTTTAACTTTTTATAGGCTTTTTTTTATTTTTGTTTCTTTTTTTAATTTTTTTTTTAGTTTTTTTTTTTTACTTTTTATAGGCTTACTCTTTGATTCGTCTTGAATCTTATGCCTCAATCTTTTCAAGCAAAATGCCTCAATTTCTTATTTTGCCTTTAAAACCTCAGCTTGCAGTATAAAATTGTTACTGCTTGTAGAGTGTAAGCTTGTCATTGCTATTGCATAATATTGAAGGATGAATAGGAACAAATTTGCTAGTTTATACATGGTTTTAGGATATTTCATATTTGATATAAATTTTTTACATGGTTTGCTTTTTCATATTTGCTTTTGTGGTCATTTGGCTAGAAGTAGTTAGAATTCTATGCATTCTATGTGTAATTATATCTTTTATGTGTAATTATGAGCATATATGTTATATTTGATATACTTTAGAGTTGTTTGACTAAATGTAAAAGAAATGTAGTGGATCAACTCTTTATGTTTGGTTTGAAGTAAAATGATTTCATTGTAAAGTAGCAGCTATGATGGCCATTAATGAAAGTGATGGTAGTATCGGGTGCACACGGTTTGGGGGGGGTCTTCACATTCTCGGTGTATTTGAAATTATTGGACCAAATTAGTCGAATACCAAATACATTGAAAATGATCGAAATGGTGAATTCCAAATTCATTAATATATTACTTTGCATTCCTTTTTCATCAAATCACAAATCTTCATGCGCTCAATGTATTTGAAATTAGGCCAAATCAACCGAATCCCAAAAACATTGAAAATAATCTAAATGGTGAATTTCAAATTCATCAATATATTACTTTGAATTTCTTTTTCATCCAATCATGTAAGAAAATTTAGGGTACCATGCATTCTTTCTTTGAAATTATTGGACCAAATTAGTCAAATCACAAATACATTGAAAATGATTGAAATAGTGAATTCCAAATTCATCAATATATTACTTTGCATTCCTTTTTCATCCAATTACAAATCTTCACGCGCTCGACTTATTTGAAATTAGGCCAAATCATCCAATAATAAAATAAAATTTAGGGCACCCTTGCATTCTTTCTACATCAAACCAAACAACCCCTTTATGATTTTAAATCAATCTATGTGCTTTTACCTACCTACTTTCATTCTCCTATGGTTTCTCCATGATGGAGCCTTTTCTAATATCGAGTTAATTTCTTCCACTGAAGTTTCGTTGAGTTATTTTCAGTCATTGGAAATACTAGGGATAATTGATGTATCCTTATGCAATAATAGATTATGATTCGCTAATTGTTCATAATAAATATGTTGTGCTCGTGGACTTTTTGATCTTTTGGCCTTTTAGTAGCATGTATAAAACTCTATTTTCGAAAAGTTAAAATTAGATTTTAAATTAAAAAAAATAGCTCAAACCTAGGTCCACCAAGCATAAATTAGCAGCTTCTCAACAACTTTTCACTAGTTTATCCAACAACTGTTTTTCACCTAATTTCTCAAGCAATTGTTGTGCCAAAATAAGCCTAACATTGTATGAAGAGTTGGATACAGTTTAATATCTTGAGAATGCATCTCATGGGTTTTTATTTTTTATTTTTTGTGTTATTTTATGTGGTAGAGGGCATTTCAAGATGCACATTTTTCTTGTTGTGGTTTTACTTGTAGTATTGCATAGGCACCGTAAAAAGAAACATTTTACTCTCTTACCCATCTCTGGTAGGACACTTTCCGGCATGTCAAAGAATCACAGCAATTCATGGCATGTCAGAGCTCTCAGGTGCTCATGGCATGTCATGAACATACAGTATTTGATTTGAGCCATTGCTTGTCATGCATTATATTGCAGGTTGTTAGTGCATGATGTCTACTAGCATGTTTAAATATGTGACTTTGTGTTTTTGTGCTGAAGAGCATGGTCTAAAGACAGTACAAAAATGCTCACTCTACCAGTTGCCGGCCATGATAGTATGTTGTTTGATTTGTTGTACTAATATTCAGGTGAAATACTTTAAGTGGTAACATTATGCTGGTTATTTTCTTACCATATTTTATTTAAATTTGAACCGAACATCTTTAAATTTTGCTTATTGCAGTTTGAAGTAAATATTTTTTACTTTATATTGTTCTTTGGTCGCAGGGAATTTTTGGTTGACCTTATGGCTGCCCCAGGAACCCTTATTCCAGCTGATGTACCGATTACAAAGGATGTTCCATTGAATTCCTATAATGCACTGGAAAATCAAAACCTGATTCCTTGGAATATAGATAATTCAGGTGACATTTTTCTGAGAGGGGAAGATGGAAATTACAACTTGGGTGTTGATAAGATGCTTGTTAGAAGTTTATGTCATGAAAATGCGGCCTTGCTACCATCTGCACTTGGGGAAGCATCAGCAACTACTGCAAGCAGTTCAAGTGGAAATGCAGAAAGTCTTTATCTACATGGACTGTCAAACCAAAATTTATCTTCTACTAGTGGAGTTCCAAGTTGTGGAGATTCTTTGGACTCGAGAACCCTTTTTGCTGAACTTAATCCATTCCAAGCTGTTGGAGTTGGAAAACCTCATTCAGCTTTTAAAGCTTCTGATCATAGAACTAATGAATATCAGAGGTCCAGAGAGCCAGGTGCTTCAGGACATGGAAGACCACATAATCAGTCACCGCTGGTTCGGAAAAGTCATCATCCATGCATTGATGTTTCAAACATGAAACATTATAACTTTGTGGAGGGGCTCATTCCAAGGAAAAATGTAGGGGATAGAGATCTTAATACATCACCCTATACATTCAACTCAACTGGAAACTCTATGGTCAATCCTACATCCATTTCTGGTGCGTCATTTCCAGCCAGTGTTGATGATACTTCTAGAACTATTGATTGTTCTTCTGGAGCTATTAATTCATCCATAACATCAGGATCTGCCCAAAATGATAAACTAGGGAATGGAAGTGTTGATCTTCCACTAAATAAAGCTCTATTCCCAATTCAATCCGAAAAACATGGGTTGGTGTTGCGCAACACCGTGTCTCATGAGACGATGGAGAGAGAAAAAAATATCATTGCTAAGCATGACAGGAGAAGGCGCACACATGATAGATTTATGGGTAGGAATATGGTTTCAGAAGATTCAGATCCATCAGGTCCTTGCATACAGAATAGATTTATTGGAGGGGATATGGTGATGGAGAATACCGATCAACTAGTTCCTTTTCCACCATCCAAACCTAGCAGGATTGATCCAATGCTTGATGATGTAGCTGAATGGGAAATTCCATGGGAAGATCTTGTAATTGGTGAAAGGATTGGATTAGGTATTACTAGTAATCTGCTGTATAATTTAATTATATTGAAATGTAGCCATAACTGATTGGAATTTGATGTCAATTTTTTTTTTAACCTTTTATCATTATCTTAAAATATGAGTTTAGAATCAAAATTTTATACTGTCATGCAAACTGCTTTTTACCTGGAATTGTTTGTTGATACACTATTTTTTGAAAACCTACTTGTCTTCTCTCTTTCCCTCTTTCACATGCACATGCACAGAGAGGGAGAGAGAGAATAAAGGAAGTAAAAAGAAAAAAAATTATAGCAGTTGGTGTGGATAAAGGAACTTCAACCAATGTGACACCTAAAAATTTCCTAAGAAATTTTATATATGTAATAATAAACCTTATTAACCTCTTTTTCCTTATGAATAGGTTCATATGGAGAAGTGTACCGTGCTGAATGGAACGACATTGTGAGTATTATTCACCATGCTATTTGTATCTTTACAACATTTCATGCTTTTATTTTTAATTTTAAATTTATATCAACTGTCTATTTGCTAAACAAACTTTTTTAAACATGGTGACATGACTTTATGTTAGACCGGTCCAGCCGGTCCGTGCGGGACCGGCCCAGCGCAAACTGGGCGGAGAAATCTCCGCCCGCGGAGATGCCGAGCAAGCCGCACACCGTGCGGGAGCTTTTTAGGAAGCTTTTTTGAGGGTTTTGAGAGGGAAATTTGAATGTAGGGACTGTTTAGGGATTTCCTTTTGATTTGTATGCATTAAATAGTTTGTTTTCCTAGGGTTTGGGCATCTTGAATTTGGCTGAAATTGTATGCATTAAATAGTAGATTTTCCTAGGGTTTGAGCATCTTGAATTTGGCTGAAATTTGAGATCTCTTAGATTTAGGTTTCTTTGGGCTCTAGCGGCGTCTAGAGATTTGGGAGAGATCGATCCTCCTCTCGAATTGAGGATCAATTGTATCTTTGCTAATTTCCTTGCATCTACTAGTAAAATACAAGTTTTTCCTACGATTTTCTCTCAGTTTTCTACAGTTTTTCCACTGTTTTCACTGTTCTCCTGCTCCGGACAGCAGTATTTCGTGGAGATTTGCTGTAAAGGTGAATAAGAAATACTTGATTTCAAGTATTTCCTATCACTTTATCAATTGATTCATTGAAGATTTATCACCCTAGAGTTTGGTGTTAGACATGTGAATTATTGTTTACTGAAAATTGTCATTGATTGTTGGTTGATTTTGGGTTAGTGGGTCATCTACTTGGTGGCATGACTATTCCGACTACTTCATGTCTCAAAGGTCTCTTTGTGAATACTATGCAATGAAATGAAGTTTAGCCAAATCTTAAAGCATTGTACCTGTTGATTGAAGATGTATTGCACTAGAGTTGGGTGTTAGACATTGGAATTTTGGTTTTTGGTTGATTTTGAATTAGTGGGTCATTTAAAGATTGATATTATCTTGCATACAATCAACAAATTAAAGGTTATTAGGCCCATGTGTTTTGTCCCTAGGAAGATCATCTGTCACTTAATTCAATGATTGAGCTTGAAAGTGAATAATAACTGAAATTAGTTTGGTAGAACTTTTCATTTGGATTAAAGATCGAGGGCTTAGGGGAGAGACCTCCTTCATTAAGGTTAGTCATTTTCTTATTCTCTTATTGGGTGTTTATAGAGTGAGTGTGAACGGCTTGTTTAGTACTTTTATTGAGATGAATGGTGGGTGGAAGCGACGCCACGCCTTGTCTTTGAGGAAATATTGTATGAAAATACCATTGATTGAAGATTTTGATCGTATAGTTATTGGAGAGTTGAGAAGTGAAATTGTTTCTTCAAAATCTATGTCAGAACATCTTTCTCTTGGGGGTGATGGACTAATGGATGAGGACTTTATGCCTTAAGAAATGTGTGGACAATGATTGGAATCTAGCTATAAGGTGATTCTCATATTGTTGAAAGGTGTGATATGAGTTGGACTATCAGATCTTTATTGGCACATCAAGATCTATGCTTGATTTTTATGGATGAAAAGAACTTCATCCAGCTTGAAGTGTTTTGATGGTTGAGATTTGGTATTATTTTCTCTATGCCCTACCCTTGTTGCATGAAGATTGTAGTTGTGCGAATTTGGTGCCATTGCATGGATGACCATGACTAATTGATTCTTATATATTCATAGGGTCATATCAGGAACAAAAAAGTTATTCTTCCTTCTATTTGAACTTTTTTTTTCATGTGTTTGATGTTAATAAAGAACACTGCATTCCTCCCTCACTCCTACAGTAGAGGGAAACCGCCCATAGCGCCATTAGTTCTACTTGTGGACCTTAATATCAACACTAGTTATAATGTCGGACCTTAATACCCTTAAACATCCTAATATGGTGACATCATAGAAGATAGGAAATGAAATGATCCTTCTTGTTATTGCTTTTTTGGTAGTTCTAGGTAGGCTAACATTTGAAAGGTTGTCTGTATGCATTTGTAGTGCATTGTTGTCCCAAGGGTAGTAGTTGAGCTCATGTTATTTTCATTATTAAACAGGGGCATTCATGTTAAAACATTATTGTTCTCATGTTAATATAAACTTTATGGTCTCATGTGGTTGCATTTCTTTATATTTGGCTTACCAAGTTTATGTAATATGTTTTTTTGTTATTTGTTTGGTTCATTGGTTTAGCACTAGGATCTAGATTTAGTGTGATAAGATAACATATTATAAAAAAGGGGATTATTTGATTGGATTTTATTTCAATTAAAGAATATATTAGTTAACTACAATGTTCAAAAGTGATGTAGCCTTATTTATCATCATTTCCTTAAGTCATCGAAGTTAGGTAATATAGTTGGCATCTAATTAGGCACCAACTAGATTATTTTAACTTGAACTAATAGTGTCATCAACTTAATCTAAGAGAAAATGGCAAGCCAAATAGCTTTTGTTGTTATCTAAATAACAATACTATTCACATACCTCTGCCTGCCATTGTATGATTGAACCTCTTACAATGTTGATTTATTGAAACTTATACTTAAAGTTTTTGATCATTTTTCTTATGTTTAATTTTCATTATATTGTTTTTTGTTAGCATAAGCATCGTGGGATGCTGTTTGATTATGTTAATATGTATATCTTTTATGAACAATAGGAAGTTGCTGTGAAAAAGTTTTTAGATCAAGATTTTTATGGAGATGCTTTGGACGAATTTCGAAGCGAAGTAGGTGAAATATTAACTTTTAGCAACATTTTCGTGCTACTTTTCTCATACTTCTTCCTAATTTTGTTTGGACTATTACATTTTAAAGTTGTTTATTTTATTGTTTAGGTTCGTATAATGCGTCGGTTGCGTCATCCTAATATTGTTCTTTTTCTCGGTGCTGTGGCCCGACCTCCTAATCTCTCTATCGTGTCTGAGTTTCTTCCAAGGTAATATTATTTCTCCTACCAATCTCATTAATTTTAGATAGTTATAGTTTTGACATTTAATTATCATCATAAAAATCTTATTTCAACTATTTTGCTTGGCCTTATAATCCTCATCCAATTTCCTAGGTGGCGTACTACATGAGATGTTAACTTTATTTTGTGCAAGTATTTGCAAACAACTTTTAACCATGTTAAATTTTTTCTTACTTTTTTTTTCATTATCTTTACTTACCGTATGGCGGATTTAGATTTCTAAACCCCTTATCGTGTATTTTCTAGGTTCTTATCTTTTGTAGGTGCTTTCACAATCATCTAATATAATCATTTTTATGATATTTTTCCTAGTAGATCTAATGTGGGATGGCTCAAAATTGGAGTTTCCTAATGCAACTAATATGATGTTTAGTATAAATACATGCAAAGGAAGTTGATGGCTCATAGTTCACAAGCCAAAAAATGATTTACCCATTCCTTTGTTTAAATATAAATTAATAATGCTAGACTTAGAGCAAAAATGATGACAAAATGATTGAAATAATCTGAGAAATTCAACAAGAATTTAGAATAATATAATATCAACTAGTGGTTTTAATAAAATTTTTACAAATTGAATTTTTGATGTGCTAAATTTAAAAAAAGTCCATGAGCATTACTCAATCCAATTCCAAATTATGTAGATGAAGTAAGAACAAGGAATGAAAGCAGCATAAGAAAAGTAGGTCTGATGTCGGTACAAGAAGATATCTTTAATTGGAATTATATAATCACTACCACTCTGGAAGAAATTACATTTTCAATTTGCACTCATAAGATTGTCAGTTGAAAATAAATTTTATTCCACCAAATGTTCTTGCATTAAATGCATCAAATTATTCTATTTATAAGCGTAATAATAAATGTTAAAGTCTAAAGTTGGCTGCATCTTTCGTTCACATAAATAGCTGTGCAATAGCTGTAGGATATCCGTTGGATTAGCCAAGTTCATAAATATAGTTTTCTGTGATAAGCACCATTGACTCTTAACAGAATTAGCAATAAATGGTCTCAAGGATAACCATATAATTAGTAGCATGAGGTGATTATTTCAGCTACAGGAACTAAAATCTTTACAATTTGCAAATAGCTTGGAACCAAAGCCATCACTTGACATGGCTGCTACCAAAGTCATATGGTCGAGCTTAATACAGTAGTAAACGGATAACTCTGCATTGATGAAGTTAATTACAAGTAATACATATCCAAGCTAAGGAACCATATTGAATAGCTGTCAATTCAGATAAATCCAAATAAAAATGAGTAATGACTTAAAAAATCAACACAAGAGCTCATGGCTCATCAAAACCATAATCCAACAACCAACCATACCATTTAGAATACAAATGATGCCGAATCACTGCTTGAAGCAGTACAAAACAGTCCAAATATCATTGCCTGTAGTCTAGGGTCAATACCGCACAACCATCCTGACTTTTTATTTTAATATTTCTGTCAAAATTATTCTATCTACTAATGAATTTTTGTTGAGGTCACTTTGATTTATAAGAATTGTTAGCCTATTTGTAGTTTTATAAAATCTATTTTTAGCTCTCCATGATATTCCCTTATAGCATAGGCACTCTTAGTACATTGCTCTTTATGCCCGCATATGTATCTCATTTCTCTTATGGAGTAAACCTGTAGGTGCTTAAACCTATCGGTTCTAGTTATATTTTAATTTTTGAGCAATGTATTACAACTATTTGGTAGTAGTCCATTACAATTATTTGGTAGCAGTTCAGCTACACTTGTATTTTTTTGGCATCGCAAGACACAATTTGGGTCCTATTTGAAGAAAATATCTCCATGCATGATGGGTCATAGAAGCATTTTCTTCAGATGGTTTCTGCAAATGAATTTGTAAACATCCTTTACCAAGTGATAACGCCTTAAGAATTGTTTCCCATTTTTGGTGAGTTTTACGAAGTTGTTTGCACCTCAAGTTTTTTATCTTTTGAGATAGCAAAGTTTCTATTAGAGTTCTTCAATTGCAATGCATTATAAATAATTCAACTCATTATTTTTTGTAATTTGAGGTTCTGGAAAATTATTTTTGGCTGATTATTTAAAAGGATTGAGTAGCTCCAGTGGCAGATAAGATTAGAGAGAGTTGTCTTAAATGGTTTGGTCACATAAAAGTTTTATCAATAATGGTCTACCTTTATTTGGTCCTTTCCTACTTTAATCATTAGTGCTTCTCTTTAAAATATTTATTTTTTTGCATCAAAATTTATGTCGTAGAAAAAAAGTAATGTAAGCATGTTTTTTCATTTAGAGGAAGTTTATACAAAATTCTTCATCGTCCTAATTGCCAAATTGATGAGCAGAGACGGATCAAAATGGCACTTGATGTGGTATGTGATTACTTAATATTTTGGTCTTTCACCGTACTCGCTGTCAGGCTATTCTTTAATAAATTTACATCTGTAATACTTCCATTTTCTTTTTGCAGGCCAAAGGAATGAATTGCTTGCATACTAGTGCTCCAATAATTGTTCATCGTGATCTTAAATCACCAAATTTGTTGGTTGACAAAAATTGGACCGTTAAGGTAAGGTTGCTCATGCTAATCTTGAAAACTATTTATGTTGCTTTTATTCATGAAATTTATTTAGCTTGTTGCTAGCTATAAATTTAAGATTTTCTTTATATTTCAGGGCTTGGCTATTAGCTCCTAAGAAGATGCCTGATTGTAAGTCCTTAGGTATAGATAAGATCTCTGTTGAGATTTTGATAATTGTAAGAGATATTAGAATAATTTAATTAACAAAACTTTTGAATGAAATCTTAAAAGATTGGAGGATATTGAATTATTGGAGAAAAAACTATTTTGTTCTAGTTAAGAAAAAATATATTTATGATTGTGAGAATTAAATGAGAATTAAACTCATGAGTCGGATGATGAAGTTAAGATTATTGTAGTAGAACATAGTCTAAAAAAATCATGTGATAATCGAAGAATTGATTTAGTTTTATGCTAGGTAGATCCACTAGGGAGGTGATTTTTGTGCAAAGGAAATTAATGCAAAAATTATGAAGAGCAAAGATAAGTAAAAAAATTTTATTGATCTTGAGAAACTACTTGAGTAGCAGTAGAATGTTCTTTTCAAGGAGAAAAGTTTGAAGTATATTGAAGTTGTTAAAGATATATATGATAGCACTTTTGCTACCATTTGAAGTTGTTATGGAGTGATCAAATTGTTCCTGATACACTAAAATTATATCAATGATCAACTTTTGCTTCCCAACCCTCTATAGTAGTTATGAAGATGATGATAATAGATATTTAGAGAGATATATTAGTATATGCTATTCGCATTTGACATCGTTCTAATATGTTAGGTTTAATGGAATAAGTGAAAGGTTGAAACATTGTAGGAAATTATTAGATAACTTGGGATCAATAGAAAAAATTCAAATATATTCTATGCAATTTTAATTGATGTGAAATTTATAGCTTCTAGCATTATTGCTAGAAGATCTTTTTACCCATGTATGATGTGTAAATATTTTGTATCTATTGTAAAAAAATGAGGATACAAATGCAGATATAATTTTTATTTTTAAGATTAGTTGGTTAAAATGAGCACGTGTGGGGATGACTACTTTAAGAAGAAATTTGTAAAATTGCAATTAAGCTAGTTGTTATAATATATCGATGCTATCATGAATCCAACAATAACCAAGTTGAATGTGTTTTAAATGAGAATTTTAAGATGTTTGTGTAGCTTGTTGAAGTGTTTATTAAAAAATGAATATACCAAAGAGATTTTGACATGAGAATCTACTAAATTAATTTTTCAAAAAATAGACTTTGAGCTTATTTGGTTGTTTGTATATACAAGATGTTTTAGGAAGATGAGTATGTATTACGTATGTGAAAGAATTAGGTAAAAGTAGCTGGATCAAAGGTAATTTTTTTTTAAAAAAATGTACACTAATCATATTGTTTAATGCAGCTCTCAATAAGAGTTAATAGAGGACGATGATTCATAAAAGCAACTCCCAAGTATTTGGGTAAGATTCATGGGGATGATTAGGTACAGTATATTCAAATTACTAATGACATATTCTCCCTGAGTTTGTGGAGATGCTTTCAGAACTAGATTTGCAGGTTATAAGCTTCAGCATTGGTTTAATGGTGCTTGTAAATTAAAGAAAAACAATCCAATTTTAGCATCAATAGTGAGAAAACTGGTAAATATGTACTTTTACATTGCTTAGGTGTTATTGGGTATTCAGGGGTTCTTCAAATTGCTCATCACCAAATCCTTGCTGATCGAATACTTAAGATATTCACCTCTAAAGCTTCTATTGGTGAGTTCCTCATTAGGAGAGATTATTACACGCGGAGTCCGAACATAGAGAATTGTTCGGTTTTGTGGTTGTGAACAAGTAAAAGTGTAGTTACTGTTCATTACTGCATTTTTTGCTATTCACCCATGCGCTTTTATTGTTCACCGTCATAAAATTGAACGGTTTTCTGTCTCCGGACTCCATACGTAATAATCTCTCCCTCGTTAGTTAGCATGGTTGATGCTTTTTTATGTCAGTTTTGACCATTTTTGCGTAGTGTACCATATGGATTATTATATGCACGTTCAACGAACATTTACAGGGAATGAGGGAATGGTAGCGTTCGGTTTTTGGTTCATAAAGCGTACACCTTTCAAATGATGTCCCATTTCTCAATACAAATGACTGATTGTAAACTTGTGTTTTTTCTTTAAAATAATTTGAACAGCTGCGGTTTTTTTTTTTTCTTCCCATTGTTCTGCTCTCGGTGTTTGTAGTCCTTATGTTGATCCAAGTCTCTGCAGGTTTGTGATTTTGGTCTTTCACGCTTGAAGCACAGCACTTTTCTGTCATCTAAATCTACTGCTGGAACTGTGAGTACCCTTATCAATATCAAGTTACTTCATCACATTTCTGTGAATGCTTTCTAGTACTGGCAACCTAATACAAATTATTTTTCCTATCAGCCGGAGTGGATGGCACCAGAGGTCCTCCGTAATGAACCATCCAATGAAAAGTAAGTTACTGGCTCATTCTATTTCATCGACTTGTCTTATTTTAGCATCTCCAACCGAAAAACTCATTTTTCACTCCAAAATGCATTAATTCATTAAAATGCAGTAATGATTTGTCTCCAACCGAGCTTTATTTTCTAACACTAAAAAAAGAATATTCCTAGTATATCCTATCTCATACTTCATTTTATATATTTTTCTCAAATTAAAAAAAGAATGGCCGGGCGTCGCACTGTTCACCCGCAATGAAATAGCGGCAAAATTACCACTAGGATGGAGGACTGAAGAAACGCCATACATTTGTTTGGTGTTCCATTGGAGATGCCCTAAGTAGCATTATTCTGCATAAATTTAGTCGTTCTTTATATACTTGTCTCTCTAAAAAGAATTTGGTTGGCTTTTATACAGATGCGATGTTTATAGCTTTGGAGTCATCTTATGGGAGCTTGCAACGCTCAGGAAGCCCTGGAGTGGGATGAACCCAATGCAGGTTGTAGGTGCAGTAGGCTTCCAGAATCGTCGCCTCGAAATTCCCAATGAAGTTGACCCTCTCGTATCAAGGATTATTTGGGAATGCTGGCAAATGTATGCCGATTATACAAATATTCTCGCTTAAAAGCATACATAACACTTAAAACTATTGAAAATACATATTTAACATCAAAACTTCTATATTTACTAATATACCACCTAAAATCCCCTTTTTCTTCTATTTTGCCACTCCATTGAAGCGAAGGATGCCATTGACGGGGAAGACAGACGTTGATAGTGATTTTTGACGAAAGGTTTAAATGGAATGTTAGAATTGATTAAAACAGGGGTTTCAAGTGGTATATTAGTAAATATAAAAGTTTAGGTGTTAAATATATATTTTCAATAGTTTTAAGTGTTATGTATTTAAAAATCCCTAATTTGTATCCTATTTCTCACCCATATCCTTCATTTTTCTATTTATTTGAAGGGAACCAAGCCTGCGTCCGTCCTTCGCGCAGCTCGCGACGGCTTTGAAGTCCTTGCAGAGGCTTGTGGTCTCCGCTTACCAGGACTCCCAGAACCCTCTGGTCTCTCAAGAGATTCCAGTGAACTCAACACCTTAATATCCTTCTCCAACTGTGAATAAACATACCAATATTACTTCTTTCATGTATAGTTCAAGAACTAATGGAAAAATATTACTTATTTCTGTATAGAGAGTCTGCCAGGGCTTGTAGACTAAGAATCCTGTGGTTAATTTACCAGTTGCAGCTTAAGAGAAGGTGGTTTTTGATTGTACAGAGAGATTAGGCTGTCAAATAGCCCATTTATTGGGTTAAATGTATTATATGACTGGCATTCCTTATTGATTGTTGCCATGGATGAAATTGCTTCCTGGATATGGTTACTATGTGAAATTTTATTTTCTGCTAATTAAATGAATCAATGTTACTGTTTTGAGTGATCTTCTTAGACTTCTTTTGAAACAATTTTTTTTTATGTTTTTTAAAATAGCTTTCTATAATATTTTTTTTTTCAAAAAAATTTTGTAGTAAAATCTGCTTTATAAAGCAGTAGTAAAGTATTTCCTAACGTACCATTATGCTTTGTTTGGGACAGTTTTCTTACTGTTTAAAAAGTAGATTTTTAGTACAAGAATTTTAATTTTTTATTAAAAAGTTGTTTTATTAAGTAAAGAGTAGTCTCAAACGAAGTCTTAGATTTTGTTTGAGATGACTTTCTTACTTCTTAAGTAGCTTTTTAGTAAAAAAATATAATTTTTTAATTAAAAAGTTGCTTAAAGAAGCAGTAAATAAACTGTATCAAATGAAGTTATGAAGTTTTAATCGATATGATTAAAAAAATACATTTTAATTTTTAAACAATGTTTTAGAACTTTTTAAGACATTTTGATTTTTAAACAATGTTTACTTATTCTTTCTATTATTATATGAAAAAAATACTTTAAATAAGGGCTATAATTTAAAAAAAAAAGATTGTAAATAACAAAATAATACTAATAGATTTACTAAAATTAATTAAAATAAAAAAGTATTTAATTGGAAAAAAATATTATAGTAATGTCTATCGAGAAAGATGAGTATATTAAATGAAAATTATTTTCATACATATGAACTATTAAGGATGAATAAAATAATAAAAAAATTAAAAATAAAAAAAAGGATGAATAAAGTAACAAACACTTTAAAAAATAAAGGTGATTCTATGGTTATAATATGGTTATTTATTCTTGCACATTTTAATTCATTAAATCCTATAAATTACATTACACGTGTCAACAAAATAGAGCAACATGTCAATTTACCTCTTTTCACATAATTTTCTGTTTGACAAACATTTTAAAAGAAAAACTATCACTTTTTAACGGTTAATATAAAAATATTTTAATATGATTTGACAATTCATCATTGAATTAAAATTATAATATGATATTTTGATTATTTATATAATATACAAATTTCAAATAATAACAATATTCAATTTAAAGGTTTAAAAAATATAAATGGAAAATGTGTTGATAGAATATCCAAATATTTTATTATAGCAATTTGATTAAAATCAAAATTCCATAAATTGATATATTTTGGAGCTAATTGGTTCATAAAAAATTGGATTAATTCATCAGCTTGTTGGTTCAACCACCGATTCCAATTAGTTCTGATCGATTCCAGTGGATCGATTCATTGTTGAGCCAATTGGATCGACTTAAGGATACAAGCTAACTCGTGAGCTAGCTCAAAATTGTCTCGATAAATGACTAGTGAATTAAGGTTTGAGTCAACTCTAACTCGACTCGTTAGCTCATGAGTTGACTTGTATAAAAAATATTAATATTAAATACACTTAAAATATAAGAAAATCGATAAGTTTAGTATAAAGTTGTTAAAAATATGTGGAACTTACATTTATCTTTTTTATTTCAAGCGGTTTCTCATTATTTTCATTTACTTTTTTATTTTTATGATATTTTATAATAATTACTCTAAGAAGAATGAACTATTTTATAGATAATAAGCAGGCTCATAAGTTAACTCAAACTCGTAAAATTATACTCGAGCTTGATTACATAATCAAGCTCAAGTTCAAATTGAGGATGACTCGATCTCAACTAGACTCATTTACACCTTTAGATTATTGGCCAACCGGTCATTCTTTTAAAATCATATAAAAATGAACAACAAAATAAACATAAAAAGGAAATATTTATAATTCTGAAAACTAAATTTAAAAAATGACTAATTATTCTCAACCCTAGAGGTGTCAATATTTGACATGACACGAAAACCCGACTCGAACCCGACAAGAAAATTTCGGGTTTGACCCGACCCGATTTCAAAACGGGTCGGGTTTGGGTTCTAGAAATCGACCTGTTTGAAAAACGGGTCAGGTTCGGGTTGACCTGACGGGTTACCGGATGAACACGCGAACCAGTTTAAAATCAACTGCCCGCGATGCTGCCCCGCCTGCCCGTGAAGCACCAACGCTCGTTCGCGTGCCCACTGGAGCTGGCCTGCGCGCCCACTCGCGCTCGCCAGCATGGCCACTCGCGCACCCGTTTCGGGTCAACCCGTGTCGGGTCGGGTCAACCCTTCTATCCGACATGTTTACCTACCCGGGTCGGGTTAGGGTCGACCCGTTTGAACCCGGATCATTTCCGGATTCAACCCGAACCCGACCCGTGACCCGAAATTGACACCCCTACTCAACCCCTTCTCCCAGCATTAGATGCTTTTCAACAAATTTATTATATTGTGATATGTAGCTGTCATATATAACAATAATACAAAATAATAATAATTATTATAATAAAAAAGAGATATTGATATTCACTTCAAATCTGAATGATATCTAACAAGCCCATAAATTCAACAGTAAAATGGATTCTCACTGTCTCACTGAATCAGATTCTAAAGCATAATCACGTGGAAGTGCTTATGGCCTTTCATATTTCACGTATGGTTCTGCATGCATCATTCTAATGAAACAAATGACCGACAATTAGCGAGGAAAAGGCATATAATGTCTATTCATTTGATTTGTCCTTATTTGCATTTCAATAGTAAGTACTGTGAATTAAATGATTAACTATTTTGTGCGGATACTGTTGCGGACTAGAATATACGCGGCGGTAGAATGAAAAATATAACGTCTTAGCAATTTACATATATCCAGCACAACAATAGAAAATTAAGGAAGAGAAACACCAGAAACTTTTTTACATGGAAAACCCGAAAGGAAAAAACCACGGGGCCTGGCCCAGATGAGAAATTCCACTATGTCTGGGTTGGTTACAAAATTTGATTCAATCTTTTACTTGGATACGCTGGAATTACAACAGGTTATAATCAGACAGAAATTTGACGATGATTGATGAATCGACCAAAATAAGGCAGTGGTTGGGAAGAGCTTTAGCGACAATCCAGAAGAAAATTAAGGCGATGGTTGGCAAGAAAATTCTGGCGGAGTTCGAGAGGAACTCCGGCGGTGGTCGACAAACTTTGGTGGTAGTAGGCAGGAACTCCGGCGGTGTTTGGCGGGAACTCCGGCGGTGGTCGGCGGGAACTCCGGCGTTGGTCGGCAGGGACTTCGGTAGTGGTCGGCGGGAACTCCGGCGGTGGTCGGCTGGAACTCCGGCGGTGGTCGGCGGGAACTCCAGCGTTGGTCGGCAGAGACTCCGGTGGTGGTCGGCAAGAACTCCGGCGTTGGTCGACAGGAACTTCGGTAGTGGTCGGAAGGAACTCCGGCGGTGGTTGGCAGGGATTTTGGCGGTGGTCGGCAGGGACTCCGGCGGTGGTCGGTAGGGACTCCGGCGGTGGTCGGCAGGAACTCCGACGGTGGTCGGCAGGAAACTCTGGCGGTGGTCGATGGAAAGAGAGCTCCCAAATTCCTCCCTTCTTTTATCCCTCTCATGAGAAGAGTGAGGGTTATTTATAGTTTTTTGAGAGTGGCATAGCTTGTAAATATGTGGAGGATCAAGGTCAAAATTGGAGTGGTTTGAATAGACGGTCGATATCGATCCCCTTGATCATTGACCGTTTATTGGTCAATCAGACGCCTTAATGTTTTCAGAATTCAGTGACTTTGGGCTCGTTGGATTTGTCTCGTTGAGCCGCTCGATTTGACTATAAGCATGTCACAGTTGAAAACTGTTTGGTAATCCAAATTGTGCTTTGAACCCTTCAACAGTGCTTCAGACCCTTGTTTTGGACCATTCGGGCTCGGATTGAGTTTAATTTGGTGTCGTTGGGCTCGTCTTCTTGAGACATTCAATTCGATTATAAGTTTGTTGAAATTGGAGTTCGGATGGTCCCATATCTAATTTTGGAAACTTTCAACTCAATTTTTCATCAAAATTCGTACCCGATCAAGATAATTTTTGGTGACATATCAGATACCAAACGTCATTCGGAGATAAATCAGAATGTGTCATATCACACCTTCACTCGGTACCGCGGCTCGGTACTGCAGTTTGGTACCGCTGATTTGACGCATTCTAGTTAGTCGCCAAACAACATTCTGCATCCGGTCTTCGCACAAAATAATTTATCGAATTAAAGGTGATAGAAGTTAGTCACCTAATATTTCAATATTACATTATTTTTTAAAGTATTTGGTGTGCAATAGGCGGCTCATCTTGATGTGTTGGTTGTGAGCTTAGATTGTCAACTAAGGCTTTGTTTGGGATATCTTTTGTATAAGCAAGAAGAAAGCTGTCCCAAATGAAGCGTAAGAGGTCTAGAGTTTGAATCTTTCATATTTGATGTGTGTAGGTTAGTGATTTCGATTGTGTTTGTGATGACTTTTTTATTGCTTTTAAAGTAGCTTTTGAGTACAAAAAATTTTAGTTCAAAAAATTTTTGTACAGAAAAGTTATTTTAAAAAACATTAAAAAAGCCATCTAGCCAAATGAAGCCTTAATTTGTTCTTAGTACTAAAAATGTGTTTGATGTGCAAGTAATTCATTAATGATTATGGAGAGGTGAGTGCTATATTTTGGAGTTTACAACAAAGATTAACATCAATTAATGCATGATGAGTTAGTGTGGATAGGCATAAGCCAAGCATGCATGATTGTGGGTTATACAAAATGTAATCATTGATTTTTTTGGATCTAAGTGAAAATTTATATTTTTAATTCATTAAGTAAAATATTTTTGATATTATCTCTCCATATTGTATCATAAAAAGTGATATAATCCTTGTAATTTTTTTTTTTAAAGTTGCTTTCCTATTTTCAAGTTATTTTACAATATGTGTTGAATATATAATAATTTTATGGATATTGGAATTATTGTACTATTTCTTTTTTATTAAGTTTAATGGAGAGATTAGAATTGCTATTTGATGAAATATTTATGAGAGTCATCAAATTAGTGTTATTTGAAAATTTTAGTGATAAATAGCCTGTAACATATATAGTATACATATTATTTAGGTAGAAATTTTGAAAGGAGAAAAAACATAGAGCGAATACTCTTGTTGAAATATGTCCACTGTATCAATTGAAGATTATAACGGTTATCCATTCTTACAGTATCTTGTGTACTATTTCTTCTCTATATATGTACACATTTCTAAATCAAAAACAACAAAAATATCTCTTCTCAGTTGAGATCAAAATTCCTTGGTTCACACTCAATTTCTTTCTTATCATGAAAACAATTAAACTAATTGCCCACCTTCATTTGACTTATGATGTTTGCCACTATTAGTCATTTAAAGCCTGCCAATGACTTATATTTGATGCCCATCAACCACCAAAACCAACACTTGTCCTTTAGTTGCTCAATAAAAAGATCTTCCCTTCTAATAAGAGAATGGTCAAGTTGACCATTACGTGTCATAAAATTTGACTTTTCTTATCAATTATTGTATAACAATTACCGATGACTAATATCTGGCATTTATCAGCCATTGACTTCTAGGGTCTCTCTTATTGATATTTCACTCTTATTAGGATAAATGACTAAGTTGATTGTCCTCTATCCTATGACTTTTGATATTTCCTATTTACTATCATTTGTTATTTGCTAAAGACCAAAATGCAACATTCATCATCTACCGACATTGGATGTCACCTTCCCCTTCGTTCTATCTCTTTTCTTATGCAGAAAGACCAAGCTAATCACACATTGTCACCTACATTTCGATGTTTATTTTAAATCATCATTTGAATCAAACATCCGTCAACCATTTTTTGATGTCCATCGTTCTGATTGTTTGATCTCTCTACCTGTTAGGAGAACCAACTAAGTTGTTGGACTTCCATCCTCGAACTTCTCATGCCTACCATAAGTTATTTTTCAATATTCATTGCTTGATGATAACTCTAACCCCTCAAAAGTTCCCCTAATATCATTATAAGAGTCATCTTTCATAGTTTATATGTATTACATTCTATTAACACCTTCATTAATTAGGTGGAAGGGTGTCCTTTATATTCTTTGGACTCACATTAGTTTAACTGCTAAAAGAACTTTTAAAAACCATCCCATATGTTTCCAAAAAACAAACTCTTAATCATATAATTAAAGATAACCAAAAAAAAAAAAAGAGTTTGTAGGAAAGAGTAGAAAGCTTCTACCAGAAGCAACATTGAATAGTTCCAGATTTATTTCATTATTAATACTGAAATATGAGTATTACTCCCAAATCACTTCATAATTAACAGAAAAACCCTTCCAAAATATATTTTTGTAATATTTGAAAAAAAAAAAACATTGAATTGAAACAATAAAACAGGACATTACAAGCTCAAAGGTGGAAGAAGAAAACTGATTCATCCATGCATCTCTGTGCTCAGACAGAACAAACAAACCCAAGCTTTTGTTCAGCCAATAAACCAACTTAGACTTTGGCTTTGTTTGGGATGGCTTTCTTTCTGCTTTTTAAATTGATTTTTTTGTTAAAAAAATTTAATTTTTTTTACTAAAAAGCCGCTTTAAGAAGTTGAAAGAAAGCAGCCTTAGATCACTGTTTTTTTCGTGTTTTCAAGAGATTTTTGTACTAAAAAATAGTTTTATAAAGTAGTAAGAAAACTGTCTCAAAGTCTTAGCGTCCTAAAACATCATTATATTGATGATATGCTTTTTTCATATATGATAAAATTGTTTAGTCTCTCAAATAAAAATATGAATTATATCAGAATTTACTTCATAAGTGCATAAAATCATAGATAATAAAATTTCTGGCATATTTTTACCAAAATCAAAGTTATTTTTCAAATAATTATGCAACAGAAAAATGTAAGGAAGCTTAGTAAATTCAAAACTAAGAAGTAAGTAACTAATAAAACCTAAATCTTAATTGATCCCAATTCTCCTTTGTACATGCCACCAGCTAAATGAGAAAGGAAGAGAAAGAAAAATGGAAGGCTCGAGCTATTCTAATCAAATTTTTGATCATGAGGTTCTCAAAATCATTATATTTATTTTGAAATGAATACAATACAAAATTGATTAAATTTTTATGTATTGCACTTATCTCAAATTAAATTCAATGATTTTGCGATCCATTTCAATCAAAATTTGATAATAATATCCTAAGACAAAAAAAGGAATGACAAAGCAGGAAAGTTTTAGCCATTGAAAGACTAACATCATTATTCCAAGCCTAAGCAACCTTTCCTAAGACTTCAAAAGAGTTTCAGATCTCTCCTACTTCTTCTTCTTCTTCAGTGACGACGAAACCGAAGCCGCCGTCGAAGTAGATAGATTACCTGACCTTCTCCTTAACATCTGCCTCATCCCTTCTGCAACAAGAACTGCTGGGTTGGATCTATACTTGCTACAAAATGATATATGGGCCTTCAAAGCATCCTCAGGTTTTCCATTTCCTTTCTTCCAACCTCTCTTCATTTCTTCTCTCACTGCTTCAGAACAGAGCCCACAAAGCCATTTCCCCTCAAAATTGGCCTTCACCTGGCTTATGTACTCCTGAGTACATTCTTCTCTCAATCCACAGCATTCACAGTTTGCTGAATCTGTCTCCATGATCATATGAGCTTCTGAAAAGAGCTTTGAAAGTGGAAGAAGGGAAGCTGAGGAAGAGAAGAAGCTTTTTAAAGATGGTTGCCTCAATTAGCTCCTTGGTTTAAGGGAGAGTGGTGGTTAGTAGAGTGGATGAATGAGCACTGATTAAATAAATGACAATTTATCTAAATATTATAATGATTTGTTATATGGTAAAATAGAATAAAATTATTGTCATGAACAAGGCGTTTTATGAAGGAGAATATAGTACTTAAATTTTTTACTTTATCATTCAAACTATATTTTTAAGGATAGTATTTTTAGGCATTTTAGGAGGCATTGCTTCTCAATTTTGCAAGCTTAATTTTGTGTTAAATAGTGGGATGTGAAAGCTTGTGATTGAGTGAAGAGTCTTTTATCATTAAATGTTTCTTTTTTATTATCTTTTCTAGAGAAGATTTTTACTTGAAAGTCATATATCTCTAAAATTTGTATCTAGTTATATCACGCAAGGCATTTTAAAAGAGTACAACAGACTTAAGACATCAATTTATCTAAGCTTCTCTTACAAAGATAATGACAACTTATTCGATTACTTGCATCGATATCAAAATAACTTGTTTAATGTTGATGGGGGCGGTAGAGTAATCTAAAGAATTGTGAAAATGATTTATGGCTCTATCAATTCCTAAACAATACTTAGGTTTTTTTATATAAAAATTACAAAAACCACACTTAATATACGCAAGTATATGTGCCGAATCAAATAATATAGTGATAGAGTAGAGTATCAACCCCACAAGGATGAATGCTTAGTTGCAAATACTAGTAATGACAATTATAATAATTATCTTACTCGATAAAAATAAGTTTTGTTTGAGATTCAATCACTTAGTTTAAAATCAATAAAAATTTTAAATGAAATACTATTTGAATAAAATATTTTGAATTGATGGAATGTAATATGTTTCCTAATTATTCTCTTTCATATTGATGTTATTTAGAGCATATGCATCACCGACCGCTCAGTCAAGTGTGTCGTGACAAATGACAGGTTAAACTCTTCCAATCTCAATACTACTGTAAACTCCCATAGTCTATCATCCTATGAAAATCTTAGAAGAGTAAGTAAAACATGTACGCTTAAAACCCCTTGATCATTGCAATTCATATCTATGTATATGCTTGCATCATATCAATCCAATATATCTGGTTGTGCCCGCTCTTCTATTCTTAGGCTCCACATTACGCCTAATATTAACTACACATATGACCACTATGTGCATTAAATGAAGATCTAGTATATTGAAAATATCATTAAATGATGGATGAAGAGAATTTATTAGTACTCCACATTTTATTTACAACATCAATCCAAAACTAGTGAATTTAGCTAGACATGAAGAACAAGTGAAGCAAACTCATTTTCATTAATTGCACAAAAGAAAGAAAGTACACATATTATTGCATATTATCATTCACATGTTTTTTATACTAAATGTTTTATACAGTATTACACAGATCAAACTTAAGTACCTGTACATTTGTTTGATCACCCAAACAATGTGAGTATTTCTTAGGAGAAGGGAATACCTTCAGATATGAGTGTGACAGTATTGCTGAGCACCATAAAACTGTTAGGTGTGGTGATCAAACTTACTGAAAGCGATGCTTGTTGAATTATCTCATTGTGCTGATTAACATCTACTGACGTTTTGAAGCCTAGTGGTCCTTCCTATATCTTTATTTGGATGGAGAACAGTAGCAGATGGCCAAGTTGTAAATATTAAAAATGTAATAAAATATAGTTATAGTACTGTGTGCATCGCTCTCATCTCTTCTTTTAAGTTTGACGATTAAAGACTAGTTCACATTGCACTTGCTGGATCAGGCTTGTTCCTTGAAAGAGCTAGCACTGATCAATCGAGGTCATGTCTGCAAGCCACTGGAAAATGGCTTATGAATGACTTTTAATCTTGATTTTAGCAGAGCTGATTGTGAAATTTTTCTTCTAGTTATAGAAAGCAAAAAAAAAATCTACCGCTGAGATTTTTTTTGTATTGTTGCAGATCATCTCATTTTTCTCTTTTTTATAAAGTCTTGTAGTTATGGGTCAAGTAAAGGATTAATTATTCTGTGCGGACGACGAACGCCGTCTGGAGATCAATTAGAATGCGCCATGAGGTCACCCATGTGCTCGGTGCTGCTCGGTACCGTGGCTCAATACGTTGACGTGGCGTATTCTGGTTGGTCTCCGGACGACGTTCTGCATTCGGTCTCCGCACAGAATAATTTCTCCAAGCAAATAGGAAGTTTGAAGAAATATGATTATGATGATTTCTGGTTACATTTTTCTATATTGTTCTTAGCTACGTTTGAACAAACATACTGCAAAACACTTATGTTATAGATTTTATGATGTTAATGTTCATGTCTTGTTAGGAACTAAAGATTATCTTTACTTGTACAAAAGGCTTAGATTCAGTTGAACATACTAAGAATTTAGTTGATAAGTTCATGATGTATAACATCTGCATAAATGTGCAGTACACTTCATAAAATTTATTCAGAAAAAAAAAAAAACATTATAGTTTTATATGTTTGAAAACAGATAGAAAACTATGTTAATTTAACCTCCAAAACTATAATTATACTATGCTAATTTACAGTGATAATCTTGTATTTGTGCTAAAAGTAACATATACATTGAATGTGCGTTGAAAGATACAAAATGAATTATTATAGAAGATTGATCGTCATCAATACCGATACATATTCTATAGACACAGAAGATTAATGAATGATAGATTGATAGATCATTTAGTTTATTTAGCTTTCTCTTGAATTATAAGAGAAATTACTAAGGGTTTATTTTATTCTGGGTCAACATTGTCTGGTAGGAGCAAGCCTTCAGAATATATATATATATATATATATGATACGACATCTGGTGTCTCTTATGAATGTTTCACCCCTCTCTCTTATCTGTTTGTGTGCTGGATCTTCGTACAATGCTAAGACGTTAAACCATATATTTCTCTACCGTCGCGAATATTCCAGGACGCAACAATATATATGAAAAAACTCGTAATTAAGTTCAATATCTTCTACTTTGTCATGCAAGCACACAAAATACAACACATGCAATAGTAAGGGGATTGATGCTTTTTAAGAAAACAATGACATGCAATATAATGGCGAGTAAATATGGTTTGAAGGTCTTTTATCCCTTGGAGGTTAGGATTGTAACGTGCTTGAAAATTTGAGTTGGTAGAGTAGTGTATATTTTATATCTCAGCATTGTACAATAATTCAGTACGCGCAGATAAAAGTAGTTAGACAAGAAATTTTTTACATGGAAGTTTTCAATCATACTTTAAGTGTTTGATTTGAACTAATTTGGGCTCGAATTGGATCATTTTTTATACCGTTGGATTCGTCTCATTAATACGTTCATATCACCATAATTTTGTTGAAATTGGAGTTCATATGATATTTAGTTTAATTCTTGCTAGAAGTGACAATCATGCAAATTATATGGATTTTCTTGAATCATATCAAGGATGCCTATGCATAATGAAACTTCAGGTTTTGAGTGGACTCATGCTATGAAAATAAAAAAATATGATAACAATAACTAAGGGGTAAACGATAGAAACGGCCAAAGCTGATATTTCCTAATATAATATTGTCAAAAGAACCTAAACCTTTTTTTGGAAGTTACTACACCATAAAGTCATAAAGGAGTAGCTCAAGGTGGATCTTACAATAACTATATATTCAATGCTTCCCTACCTAAATTAATGTGATTTTTATATGATTATGTAGGACTGTTTTTGCCACCTATTAGGAAGATGCTGACTATGGGACTTAAAACTCTTAACCATGAGAGGTCAAAAAGCTTGACTATTCACTCTTATTGTTATATTGGAAGGGGAATGCTAACCAATGCTCATTAGTGCTTTTCAAACCATAACATTATGGATTGAATTGTATGCAAGATAAGCAGTATGTTCTTATTTTTATTTTATTTATTTTATTTTTTTAAAAAAATGGGTGTTTTGATGTTTATGTTGGGTTTAGATGCTCGGGTCTTGGCATTTTTTTTTGTCATGTAGACTCTTATCTTGTGACACGAGTGATATATGTTGTTATAGGCTTGTAAATATCATGCATTTGATTGGCTTTGCTAACAAGCCTCACAACAAGATGATTATCCTTTTCCTAATTCACTAAAATATAGATTTTAGCCTTCAACAACATCTAGCTATTCTATTGGAATATAAATGACAATATTCATTTTGATATTTGAAATCCATAACCAATGGAGTAGTTGAGCAAATTTTTCTTTGAAAATGATTTTTATCTTAGCCTTTCACAATTCTCATAAGACTATGGTTCTCCGACCTCTCTTGCCTGATTACGATCTTCTAACCTTCATCAAATGATCATGGTCCTCTAATCATCATTTCTTGGCTACGGTCTTCTCAAGCACCATCACTTGACTAGAGTCCTCCGACTATCATTGACCGACTATAGTCCTTACACTTCCATTGCTCGACTGCGGTCTCCAAATCACTTTTCCCTCTTGATCCTTCGACCACCATCACCGAATTATGATCTTTTGATCATCGTTGCTCGACTACGATCATTTGACCACCACCCCCGGACTATGATCCTTCAAGCATTGTCGCCCCATGCACTATGGCTTGCTTAGAATTATTATCAGACTACGATTCTTTGACTATCATCATACAACTACAGTACTCCAAACACTATCAAATTACTATGATCCTCCAAATTAATTTTTCATAGTTAGCTGTACTTTAAAACCATCCCAAAATTAATCTTAAGCACAAAGTTTCCTCTCAAATTGTGGACAAGTAAGAATCATCAAGAAGAATACCACCCCTTTGTCAAAATTATTTTCTATATAACTCATATCTGTTTGCCATTAATATGTCTGCTTATACTACTAATTAAAATCATGGCTTGAAATTTTGATGATGTGAATCATTTCAATAGAAACATATTTAATAATAAAAAAGAATCAAAATTAAATCCCCAAATTAATTAAACTTTTAAAATTATTAAAACTAAAAATTTAATATTGATTTTCAAATCAA